CTTGTCTTGCTTTGCCTCTTTACTTCCATTGCCTGTGGTTCAGCGCATTAATCGCTTGAATTCTGTGCTACTTCATGCCCTTGGTGTCAAATCCTGCTTGGAAAGGCGCCATTCTGTGAAGGAATGGTAGCAATCCTCCACAGCCTGGCATTTCCAAGCGCCAGGAGAGAGAAAGAGAAAAAATGCCATTCTGCACAGGAAATTGTAATAATCTTTCACAGATGAGTGATTTTTCTTAAGAGGAAAAAAATGACCGCAGTGTTCATGAGAGATCCTGTGAGGTTTTCGAAGGGAAAAGATAAAATTTCTCACAGAGGAGAGAAGAAGGATTTCCTGCCTCCTTGTGTTTTTCCCCCCTCTAGGATCGAGAGGTGAAATTCACATCCTTATGCGGAGTGTGTTTTCCGGGAGCCTCAGAGGAAAGGGGCCGGCGGCAAAGATGTCTCATTGTGCTGGGCTGTCTGTGGAAATCATGTGCCGTCCGGATGTTGGCACTGTTTCGCTTCGGGTTGCTGTAGGAACCGTTCAGTTTATCTCTAATTAATGACTGACGGTGGTAATCTTAGGCAGGTTAGTCTTCAGCGCTGTGACAGGTGGCCGGTGCCTTAGGGTAGAGTTAATGCAAGTGGAGGCAACGGAGCTTGAAAGCTCTCTGCACGAGTGATCTAAAAGTGATTTTCACAATAATTCAAGGAAACATGTATTCGAACTGCGATTGCCAGCATTTCCTTCATAAACATCTAGACGTTGGATGGAGAAGGCTCAATGTAAACATAAAGCATAAATGTAAAACATGTCTGGATAGCATAAGAAACCCACTGTGGTAAATAGAAATTCTTCTGGATTTGTTAGTGACGTTGACATTTAGCTCATCTTGTGCAACTCAGTGGAGTAGATGATGGCTCCTCACTCATCCTGAAAACCTTCAGGCAGAGAGAGACTGGTCGGGCCCCAAGTCATCCAGAGTGATGGATGGCTTAGTGGGGTTTGAACCAGGATTTCCCCACGCCTGGTCTACTTAGTACAAGCAAATCACATTAGGTTCCTTGAAGAATGGTTCCCTACATTGCACAGGGCACGTCCGTGTCCCTTATATTCCTAGTTTAGCCCTTTAGATACCACCCAGCATGGTGGTTATTTCACGCTTTCCAACACAGCTTCCCTGTGACGGTGATACCTAGATTTCCCACTAAGACATAAAGCTGAGACCCTTTGGAAAAGAATGTGTGACAAGAATTCCTATCATCTTGCCAGGGTCCAAAACTCAGATGAGAGATGGGCACGAACCTCGATTCCAAGGTTCGTGCCAGTTCGTACACAGATCCTGCATGTCCCTTTCCTGTACCTGCCCAGCCAAATGCTCCACTCCCCAGTCTAAGCATGCTCCTCTGCTCCTCCTCTATGGCCGCTTAGCCACTCTCCAGCAGGAGCATGGGTTGGCGTTTCCTGCCTCCTTATCTGAGTGGATGATTAACCAAGGAGGCAGGGCAAGGAAGCCCGCGCTCCTGCCGGAGAGGAGGAGGAGGAGGAGCAAGGGATGGCTGGGGGAGTGGGGGATCCAGCCCAGGAGGTGAGGGAAGGGAACGTGCAACACTTTTGGTGCTGTGTGTATGAATCGGCATGAACCTCCGACCAATGTTTGCGCCCATCTCTAGCTCAGATCCATGCTGAGGCAGAAATGGGCCCATCCAGGAGCGAGACTAAATAGCAATGAGGGCAAATACAGAGGAACCGACAATTTCAAGAGAAAGATTGCGGAACGGGCCAAATAAGGATACAACATGTTGGGTGAGCCCATGCAAACAGTTGACCTTCTGCCAATGGCCCAGTCTTCCTTGGTCTGCCCCATGCTCGTTTCCTAGCAAAGGGTCCCAAAGGGTGGAAAAAACAGCCATTGTGTGTGTTCTATTCCTGCCCCAAAGAAGGGCAGCCTTTATAGTCATCTCAGCTCCTCCTGGTATTCAAAAAGAGTTTTTAAAAAGGCTTCACGACGACTTAAGAACCTGTTTCACGTCTTTGGCAGGCCAGTCCTGCCCTTCTGTCATTAGCCCCAGCTGTCCTTCTCTACTCCTGGTTCTTCGGAGGAGAGCGCAAGTCCCCACGGAGAAACCTGACACAGAACAAAAGGGATTAGAGTTGACACAGACACAGAATCGGCTTTTAAGCGCGATGTATTCTCCGCAGAGCTGCTAAAGGTTCATCAGAGGGCTGCGAAGAGGAGCCCGATTAAAGCTCTTCCTCTTCCATCTTCAGAGAATTCTCCCTCACCTTTTTTCTGAAAGAGGAGCGGAAGCAACAACATTAAGAGGTTCCCTTTCTTCTGAGTTGGTCCATGAAAAGGGTTGGTCTTCCTTGGAGAGTCCAGCTTCGCAAGGTAGACCTTTTCCCCCTGCTGCTAAGGGCAGGGTCTCAAAACAGGAAACCGATACGCATGTCTAGCTGATAATGTACCTTCTTTACACAAGGGTCTCTCGTTGCGTGGCCAAGAGGACAACCACAGGGGTTTTTAAAAAGAGTCAATTTGGATCCTGCATCACAGTGAAGGCAACAACAGGACAATCTGAGGGGGGTGAGAAGGTGGAGTTGACGATGGGTCTCTTTCTTGACCTAGAGGCTTACCCCCCCCTCCTGATACCACACTAGTGTGGCTTGGTGGCAACGGGAGTTTTATCTCCTCACACGTCACACCTCTTGCCGTCCTTTTTCCAGTTCCTGTGCATTTGTGCGGGCGGGTCTGGGGAGAACATCCCCAGCTCTTTGTCCGTGATCAGCTTTATCACTTAACACAACGGTTGCCAAGCATGGGTAACCCGGGTGTCCTTGGACCACCGCTCCCAGAAATCCTGGGCCAGCGCAGCGAGTGGGGAAGGCTTCTGGGAGTTGTAGTTCAAGAACTGGGTGACCCAAGGTTGGGAACCACTGTTGAGTCTTAGGTCATACAGAAGCCACCTCTAGGGCAGCGATTCCCAACCTTGGGTCCCCAGGTGGTGTTGGACTACAATTCCCACAAACCCTGGCCAGCGCAGGTAGCGGTGAAGGCTTCTGGATGTTGTAGTCCGAGAACACCTTCTCTAGCAGAACTGTGAATGAAGGGACCGGCTATTTATAACGGAACAGGAGGAGTCAGAGGACACTTGAGCAGGTCCATCCTTGGTAGATCTGAGCTTAAACACTCGTGGGCATTGACCCATCTACGGGTGGGGGGGGACTGTGTTTTCCTCCTATCCAGACATTTGCCAGGATGTGGAGAAAGAGACGGGAGGGATGAAGAGAAGTCACACTGGCAGAGAGGTAAGAGTTTTGCAGGGAAACGTCCAAGAATGATCAGCAAAGAATGAGGAGATCCATAGGCAGTATAATCGCGCCCAGGCAGGAATCAGACTGGAGAGGATGGGGCCCCTCTCCCACCAGAAGATGACTAGAACAAACAGGGTTGGTTGTGCCTTTGGGTGTTTGTAGCCTGATTGAATGTGTTTTATTCATAACTGTTGTAAACCACCTAGAATAATGCATCACACTATTTAAACCTAATAAACAAACCCAATACATAAATATATAATATGGAACACTCCAATCAAACCGAGAGACACCCCATTGGAAGGATATCTTCCCATTGTAGGAAAATATATATTTTTTCAAGCAACTTTCCAACATCTCAGCATAACCTTAAAGAAAGCCCGGACTTTCGAGTTGTGGAGCTTCATTTTTAAGAGCTGCCTAATTTCAAACAGACTGGAAATCAAAATGCTAAACCCAATTGGCAGCCTTTAATTTCTCTGCTTATTGCACTCATTTCTCAACAGCGCCGCGGTCGAAGAAACACAGGAACACGGCACACAACGTGTTCGCTTTCAAGATGGAGCAAAGAAACCACGGCTCGTTTCAGATGCTGGCGTTTTCAAATGCCACCTCCCGGAGCCGTGTCAGGGCAAATGTGAAGGTAAAGGGCAGGGATCAAGAGAGTCAAGGAGGTGTGTTTGTTATCTCACCTAGAACAGAACAACTCGGTTTTAAGAAGCCCGTGATGGAGGGGGGATTATGTGCATAATCCAGAAGGAAAGGGCAGAAGGGCCAAACGGAGAGAAACTGCTGAGCGCCTCTAGTCTTGAATCAATAAGGCTGTTGAGCTGGAAAGAAAGGGCAGCCGGAATGATCAAGGCACTGGGCCAAACCCCCAAAGAGGAAAAAGGTTACAATACTCGGGACCATTAAGCTCAGAGGGTGGGGGAGAGTAAGAGAAGCCACCGTGGAGATGTATTAAAGGATGGGGAGAAAGGATTGAGGGGGGGAAAAGCTTCTCCCTGGGTCTCCTTCCACTAGAAACATGGCAACGGTTTTCATCATTGTGTTGCTTAACTTATTTTCAGTCTGTTTTGGCTCGATAGGAGCCTTGCGGTCAAACGGCAGCACTGCAGACAAAACTCTGCTCACAAGCCAGGTTCAATCCCAGGTAGCCGGCTCGAGGTTGACTCAGCCTTCCATCCTTCTGAGACGGGTCGAGTACCCAATTTTCTGGGAAGGGGGCAATGTGTCCCCTGCATAATTAAATTGGAAACTATCCAACAAGAGCTTTAAGTGCTATGGGGTGGTATATAAGCAGCACGCTTTCCTTTGCTTTTTGCTTTTGATGGTGTTAGCTGCCTTGAGAGCTCCCCCCCCCCCTTTTAAAGAAAGGCAGGATAGCACCGTAACAATAAAATAATTTCTCCAAGGCATTCCATTAAAAATGGTTAAGTTCCAAATGCAACAGAGCTATCAAACAGGCTCCATTCTGTTCAATGTAACACAAGGATTGATTATTTTCTTAAAATATTTTAACCCTGCTTTTCTTCCTAAAAGGCTGACACTTGAGTCTTGCTCTCGGGTCACTTACTGTTTCTTCCGACATAAAGGAATCGGACTTTTTCTAGCTTCATTCTTTTCTTTTTCAGTGCTCTAAGACGTAGTTGAACCTAGTTTGCGGACTTTTTTGTTCAAGTGAGAGGCAGACAAGCAAAGACTAAGGGTGAAGAATCTGCTTTTATTTAGTGAGGAGGGTGGTGTGTTTTTTTCTCTCATCAAATTAAATCCCACAGCCATTCGTGATTTTTAGAAACCTAATTACAGACAACAGCAGCAGCACTGATCCAGACCCAGGATCCCCACATTCAAAAACAGTGCCCTTAGGAGACCACGTTAAAACGAGAGAATGTTTAAGAGGCAGTTTCCTAAAAGTAATGAGCGAGGTTGGTTACACGCTTCACACAAAGAGTGACTGAATCAGCAATAGGCTTTTTTGGCTGGAGAACTCTTATTTTTAAGTGCCCAAACTTCACTTTCCACGCTTTCTTAACGAAAGGGTTGAGGAGATCTCCAAATGATATGAAATGTAGTGGAATAAGAGGATCTCTGTGAGCAGTGTGTTGTTTCACAAATATCTGAACAGATTGTTTTAATAAAATATGCAGGAATCTGCATTAGTCCCGCCTTCCCCAACGTAGTGCTTTTAAGAAGGGCTGGATGACAAGCCCCATCATCCCCAGACGATGTGGGTAGGCGCCATCGCCAACCCTTCTTGAGAGCACCAAGGGGTTGGAAGACTACATCAAGTCAACCTATAGTCCTCTCTTACTCATCCCAAACTTTGCTGCAGCGATAACGCTTGATGTAGGTTTAATATGACAGTGCCCCGTATACACGCTACTAAAATAGGAAATACCGTTCCTTAGCCCCACCATAAATACAAATCAACATCTCTATAAAACACGAAAAATTAAAAAACAAACATCTGGCCAACCCTTGCTCGGCTCACGAAGGAAACTGGAAGACAGAGAGAGAGAGAGAGACAAACAAACAAAAACAAGGAAAAATATCTGTGACTCGAGTCCTCCTTCGTTCTACATGGCTTGTGCTACAAAATGGGGGTTTGGATTGGATGAGGTCATGTAGCCAACTTGATGAAAGTGACCAGGATTCACAGCACCGTGGATTCGCGCAGAGCTCCCAAAGGATGGGTTGACGGGATACCAAGAACTAACGTAGGGGTAAGTGGGAACCAAAGGGACGCAAGCTTCATATCCCTGCAGCGATGCCTGGTTGTATGGATCTGGTACTACCGGGTAATAGACAGTCCCATGGGCAGGCAGTGCTGGCTCTCCAATGGATAAAGCACCTAGGACAGAAACAGAGAAAAATATATACAGTGGTGCCCCGCATAGCGACGTTAATCCGTTCCAGGATTAACGTCGCTATCCGGATTTGTCGCTATGCGGGGGGGGGGGACCCATTAAACTCCGTTTCAGCTCACTGCTGAAATTTATGGCAGTAGAGCCGGGAGTTCTACCAATGGACAACTTTCAATGTTGACGACAGGATCAGGACTGCCCGCTGATGGAAGTGCTTTTAGTTTGATTAATTCCACCAGAGCTTGAAACACTGCCCTGGAACGAACCCCTGATCTAATCTGGGTTTGGAAACAAACCGGGTCAGATGGGAAATCACGAGAAATATCACAGCCCCCCCCCCAAACGAGGCCGGGAAGGAATTGCATCTGGACCTCTAAGGCTGATAGTTAGAATGAACAAGACGGACCCAGCACCTGGCTCAAGACACACAAGCATCCTATTCTTCTCCTCCTGTGTCTTTTCACCAGCTATTCTCAATGGGGGCCCATGTGGGGCTCCTGGGACATTTCAAGGGGGGAGGCACAGACTGGAAACAATTCTTCACACATCACCTTAGAAGGTTCGTTGTGCAACTTAAGACAATCCTGATTGGGTTCTTTCTAGATTTCATATTGCGTTCGTGGCAAAAAAAAAAGAATTGGGAATGACTGCAAAGTGTAATCAATGGACAGCTCAATGATTTATATGTCCCCGGCTGCAGAGCGAGAAGTTGAGAGTTCTATTCCCCCGGGGTACTTCAGGACTCCCTTCCATCTCTGCACGTCTAAGATTGTCATTTTTATTACAGTAACATTTACATTTTACCAGAGGCCTGGATAAGGTGTGTTTCTGAGGTACAGAGGTGGATTTATTTCTATTTTTACATTCCCTCAACAGCATCGCTCCTCTGACGTACACGCCAATGCTTCTCCCCTAACACAAAGACAAGCCTTTCGCTCTCACCCCCGCTTGATTAATATTTGCCCTAATTAAAAAGGGCCCTGATTAACCAGCTATGTTTGATGGAGCTATCTCTGCTGATTAAAGCTTGCCACCTCATGCACTCTTAACACTGCAATCTGCGCGGCTAATGAGTCCGGATCGCCCGGACAGGAGGCGCCCTCCAAATTTCTAGGTTTGCGTAATGACTGATGGCAACGCTCTAAGCAAAGCAAAGGCCTTAATTTCGCACATAAGTCATTCAAAACCATGAAATCCGACTGCCCCTTTTTGCTAAGAACACTTTACAAAAGCTAAGACCTTGCCCAATCAGATCAGAAAGGAAATCTGTCTTGCCAGCGGCAATAAGGGCAACCCAAACACATCTATACATTTCTCCTTGGATCCTTAGGGAGGAAACAAGAGCCGTGGCTTTCCTGTAAGGGCATGTCACAGGCCCTCTTAGCCACCGCTGATGGAACTGGGGACGACGAAGCTGGCCTTTCAGTTCATACAAACCGGGCCACCAAACAGAATCTTTCCAATTCTGGCTGAATGAAGAATGAAAAAACATTCATGCAAAAACAATGCATGTATGTGTGTGGGTTCGTTTTCTTTTTAGGTTCAATTGTGCTAGGCATTTGCTTCTGGCTGGCTGGCTTGGTGGTTTTGAATGAAGAATGAAAAAACATTCATGCAACAACAATGCATGTATGTGTGTGGGTTTGTTTTCTTTTTAAGTTCAATTGTGCTAGGCATCTGCTTCTGGCTGGCTGGCTGGCTGGCTGGCTGGTTTAAGTCTCTGGCTGCAGAGCCAGAGGTTGGGAGCTCAATTCTTGCACTGGGCTTCCCAGGAGAAGAGCCAGCCTGGGTGGCCTTGGGCCAGCTGCACCATCCCAACACATGTCCAGAAGGGGGGAATGGGTGACCACGTCTGAGTACTCTCTACCTAGAAAACCCTGGAAAGGCTCCCCCAGAATTGATTTGATGGCACAGACGATGAACAATCTGCTAGATGCAAAACAGGAAGCGAAGAGCATCAAACCCTCTTCTATGACATGAGTGCTTACTTGACGCGACTGTCAATACTGACCGTTGGTGGCGGCGTCCACATGGACTGGGCGCGGATCGCTCCTCCCCACTTCAGTGTACGCCGGAGGCAGCACCGGGTCTCCCGCCGGGAGAGGCTCCGTGTACGTTGGGTACGATTCCATGGGAGGCGACGGGGGCACTTGCGGGACATACATCATCGGGTTCCAGCAGCTTTGGTGGTAATACTTGAGGGAAATTCACAGCAAGAGAAACAAGGTTTAGAACCTTCCACTGCACAGGCTAACCGAGCAGAGCGGAGACCAACGGCCGGCCGGCCAGCTGGATTCCATCTTTAAAAACACTGGGCTCAATTCTACACGGAATTAGTGGCGTTTTACCTCCAGTAAAATCAAACAGTGCTTACTTGTGCCCTAAGAATGACTCACTTTATCTCTCAACCACGTCACTTAGTGTTTTTTTCCCCACAACTGTTCTGTAAAATGACTGGAAATGGACGGTGGGATCATGGTATCCTCGGGGGATCAGTTCCAACCAACCCCCTCCAGCAGCTGCCAAAAACAGAAACTACAATATGCTATCCATCCATCCAACATAGTCTCTGGTTCCCCCTAGTGTCTAGTTCTGATAATATACCTTGGAAAGGTGCATTTCTGGGGGGTGTCATTTAATACTTTCAGGCAGCAGATAACTGGAACCGCGGATACAGTGGTCCTACCGTAGTCCATTCTGGTAAAGCATGGAAATATACTGCAGTTAAGCAGTCATTGCATCCCATGTGCTTTTCAGAGGGGAAAGCATGAAACTGCACAGAGACCAATGCCCACCTCAGTCTTTATTTTAAGTATGCAGTGCCCCAGCCACACACCCTTCCATCATCACATCCCTTTTTCTGTACATGGAAGGCAAGCAATCTGAAGCAGGGGCTCCCGCCCTTTCCAGGAGCTCTCTGCGGGAGAAAGGGAATTCTAGGAAATGAGATTTCCAGGTCCTGTGGCGAACCTCCACAGAGAGCAGATTCAGAAAAACAACAACCACCCTCTTATGCCTAGAGGGCAAGGGAACCAGAAAAGAGGAACACAACCAACATGCTCTCCTCCCCATATATTTCTGGAGTTCCACTGGGGTACAATGGACCCAAGCCACCTGGGTTCAAATCCTCACTTAGCCCATGGAAACATACTGGGGATCTGTGTGGCAAACGGTAAAGCATTCCTTGAATATCTTGTGTATTTTGAGAAACCTACTAGTAAAAGTGGAAAGAGGCTTGACAAGGGATCACCCCAACAGCCGTGTGGTTATTTAATACACAGGCTTAAGGGGCAACGGGATAGGATTCCAGTCACAGAACCATGTTCTCCGTCGAACATCTGGAAAGCTGAGTGGATGATGAAGAGAAGCACTACCCCTCCCAGAATATTTTAAATTTGCGGAAATTTCCATGCTGTTGTATGGAGACGCACCACTCCTCCTCATTGCCTCCCCACCCCTGAAAAGGCAAATTTAGCAGTCTTTCGAGAAGCACTTTACCTGCAAACCCAGGTTAAAGTAATACTGCAAGATCTTTGGGTCTGAAAAGGAAAAGGCATAGTGAGTCAATTTTTCTCTCCAAGTAGTACAATAGCTTTACCATTGTATATTTGCACTGAATCATCAGAATGCAAAAATATCAGGGTCAGGCTGTACCAGATGCCAGCTTCCTGCTGACATTTGCTTTCTCTGGCTTGAGGTTCTTTCAGCTTCACAAAGGGCTAATTAGCTCCCTTTCATTAGGTGACAGGTCATAATGATGACCTCTGTTTGCAAGTCAATTGCACAAACGCAACAGCTTTGAAAGACTATGTCTTTGGAGAGGTGATGTTTTAACTGTTTCTAACTGTGAAGCTGATGCCTTGCATTTTGCTTAACCATTCAACCAATTCCTATGAAAGCGACTGACAATGACCTTCTCAAGGACCCTCTAAAGTGTCTATGTGCCTGCTAAAATTATATTTGTCTACTCGCCATAATCTACAAGTGAACTGAATGAAAAGGTAATTTAAAAAGGCTCATTTAATTTGATTCAAATCTCTCCCTTCTACCGCTGAAGTCCGGGAGAGGAAGCGGATGGCTTTGTAGCTTAATCCCCTGCGCCTTTGAACAAAAGATGGTGTCCAGAAGTTCAGGAGAAGATTTTTTAGAAGCCTGTAAAATGATGTAACACCAGATAAAGTGGGAGAAAACAGCTGCCCAGGAGCAGGAAAACAGACCATGCCCATAGGTGCAAACTTGAAAGAAAATGGGTATTAGAAGCTAGGCTACCTAAGGTGGCTTCACGTGGCTGGACACTACCCTTGGCCAGAGAGTCCTGAAGTCCAGGAGCATTGCCTAGTGGGAGAGGAGCCCCTAGTGCGAGACCACACAGCACCCACTGTGTAGGGCATGGTGCGTTTGTCTCCGTTATGCTTCTGTGCCTACAGCTCCACCCTCACTACCCCTCTGGCCTACATTGCCAGAAAAGGGGGGGCACAAAACTGGTCAGCCGAAAAGAGGAAGGGGTGTTGAGCAGGATTGGGGGAAAGGACTGCAGACAGAAGCCACTTTCTCTCCCCCCCCTTCTCCAACATGCATGGTTGACAAAGAACGGAGAGGATGAATTGGGGGGGGGACCCTTAACGTCAAGCCATTCATGTTGATTTCTTTTGTTTTCACTAGCAAGAGTAAGCACATTATTCCAACTGGCTTTAGGGGGAACAGACCTCGTTCTTCCAGACGAGAGATGCCAGAAATGATTTCCTACTCAAATTTAAGACTGAGTTATTAAGGAACAGACCCCCGAAGAAGCAAAACGTTACTGAAAAATCTTATTGGACAACTTAGAATAAGAACAAAAACACCAAAAACTTTCCTTATTCAACACAGGAAAATATGCATCAATACCACAACCGATGTGACTCTGTGTGTGTGTGTGTGTCTCTCTATAAGTGTGGGTATGTGTGGTCAATTAAGCTCCTGTTGCAATATGCATCAATACCACAACCGATGTGACTGTGTGTGTGTGTATGTGTGTGTCTATAAGTGTGGTCAATTAAGCTACTGTTGCGCAACGCAGAAATTGACTAGCGATGATGGGTTTAGGGTTGCTAGGTGACTCAGGAAATAAATGGAGCTTGTTTCAATCCCGGTGGAATACTGACTGTAACTATATCGTAGTATCTTTTGTACGATGTTTGGAAACAATAGAAAAAGTGGAACATTCTCAGTGATAAAAGGAAGGCTTAAATTCATTTGACTGTTTGCTTGTGCCAAACGCTCTCTTTCTGGTTTTTCCAAGAGAGAGAAAAAATCTGATGGATATACTGCAAGATCGGAGGTGGGCTAGCGTTGCTTCTCAAGGGTACTGGCGTCTAAAAACTACCCAGCCCGGAGGGTGCAGTTCCTTGCAGAAATAGTCCATAACCAGCAGGAGGAAGCCATGAACGCTTTTAAACTTCTCTCGTGCCGAAGGGATACGAATCGTGGAATGAATGAACCAATGCATGTGGCCTTGGTAAGAAATCCACACAGACATGGCCGGATGCGCTCGCTGTGGATGTGCTCCCTGACACTGAGGGGGTGAGAACTTCCAGAGAACGCGCTGCCAGCTGAGTTTCCTCGGTGTGTAAAGGAGTGTTTTGGGAGGCGGATGATGTATAATATCCACTGTGTTTACAAATATTCAAGCAGCAAAAAGTAGACCCCCCCAAAAACACACACCACCACCAGGAACCCCTGTGGCAGGCAGAGGTTTTAATTCTTGCTATACCCACATTATGGGAACAGAGAGGTATATTCTCTCTCTCTCCCTCTCTCTCTGTGTGTGTGTGTGTGTTCTTTACTCTCTGTACAAACCACAGCTCCAGACACTGACTCCCCAAATCAAAGGTCCATCTCCAGATTTACAGGGAAGGCGGTGGCTGCTCCCTCTCTCCTCCCCCAGGAGAAACTCTAAGGAAGCCATTCTCAGGGATCAGCAGATCAATCTATTCCACCATCCATGGCAATTTCTCATCTACTCACCCATGTGTCCTATTTCCTCCTTGATCTGCACTTTAAAAAGCTGCACAGGATTTGCTACCTACTTTAAAGACAGAGTTTGAAAACATATCTTTCCATCTGTCCGTCGTGGCATTTGGTTTATTGCTATTTGGGTTTTCATTTTTTTTACTCTTCATTGTATGTTCAATACAAGTTTTAGGTGTTGTAAACTACCCAGAATAGTGCTTTTGCACTAATGATGTGTGTGTGTGTGTGTGTGTGTGTGTGTCTGTCTGACTGACTGAATAAATAAATAAATAAATAATCAATCAATCTTCCAAGCTGAGAAACTGAACTGTAGAATCTGGTGAATGGCAGAGTTGTTATCTACAAATTAAGGAAATAAATTGTTCCCTGCCAAAGTACAGTAATCCTAACTCTCAGAGCCAGTGCCAGCTCTACCTGTTACTCTGTGTAGCCCTATACCTGCCTGTGTATTCTGTACAGTGGTGCCCTGCATAGCGACGTTAATCCGTTCCAGATTAATTGTCGCTATGTTGAAATATCGCTAAACGGAATGGAAAAACCCATAGGAACGCATTAAACTTCATTTAATGCGTTCCTATGGGGCCCAAATCACGGTTCAGCGAAGATCCTCCATAGCACCGCCATTTTCGCACCCTCGGTAAGCGAGGAAACCGCGCAAAAATGGTTGCAGTGGCCATTTTGAGCACCCGGTGGCCATTTTGGAACCGCTGATCAGCTGTTTAAAAAACATCGCAATGCGAAGATCGCTAAGCGAAATGCTTACCAATCATTGCAATGCTATGTTTTGCCCATTAAAACATCGCAATGCGATGACATTAGCGATCTAAAAAAAATAGATCGCTATGCAGATTCGTCGTTAAACGGTGCGCTCATTATGCGAGGCATCACTGTACTTTGCAATGGTCTGAGGAAATGACACAGGTAAACAGAACATGAACTCAACTGTTTGTAGCAGAATTCACCAAAAGAGCAAACTCCACCACCATCACCACCTGTCCATGTCTGGCCCCCAATTCTGGCGGCACAGAGCAGAATTATTTCTTACCCCTCGGGAGATCGCCACCGCTAGGATCGCAAGAGTACGGAGGAGTGAGGCTTCCGTTCTCCACCACATCACTGACCGGCGCAACCGGGGGTGACGGGTATGGATAGGGCACTGAAGGAATCACAACTATTAAGAAAAACAGGAGAGAAAGGGGGAAAGACATATCAATCAGATTACAAAGAAACAACATCCAGAAAACAGACCTCAATGAAGCCTCCCTGTAATGAGAGGCTGCCTGAAGAGGGCTTTTTAAGAGGGTGGTCCCTGCTTTGATTGTATTTTTGGATGTTGCTTTTGTTTACTGTCTTTTAATGTGGTCTTCGTTTGGTCCTTTTTCACTATTTGTATACTTATCGTTTTTCCCTTTATAGATTGTCTTTTAATGCTGCAAGATGCTTTGGATCCTTCTGAAGGAGAAAGGTGGGGTAAAAATATTTTTTTGGGGGGGGAATAAAAATAAATAAAACATTTGTTTCTTTAGCTTTGGGTGGAAATCTTTTATTGGCCATACAAGAGACAGCTTTCCAGGCTTCTCCCACAGACCAGTTAGCCACCCCTTTGGTCGAACAAAGCCCTGATCCTGCCCCATACTCTGCCTCCTTTGGAGACCATGTTGTCAGTTACAAATAACTGTCAGCATGGTCCTCAAATAACTATCTGGTGGAGGAAGGTAGTTATTGACTAGAAGCAGGGGTTCCCAAACCTTGGGTAACCCAGATGTTCTTAGACTGCAACTCTCAGAAATCCAACCAGCACAGCAAGGGGGTGAAGGCTTCTTGGAATTTGAGTCCAGGAACATCTGGGGTAAGAAAGCTATCCTGGCTTGAGAATGTAGGTGAACCTATGTTGTTCTTCCACCAATCATTGGTTCAATTTGGGGGCCATTTCAGTGGGCAAAGCCAGATCAGCTTCGTCTACACCCTTCCCACAAGTCACTCGTGGTGTTGAGAAGACCTGTTTCTAGCGCGGTGAGAAAGCCTGATATTTAAGCTAGCAGGCACTCAGCAAGGTAGTGCTAAAACTACAGCTGTTAAGAAAGATTCACTACCCTTGAAGCTTGCACTAAGCTAAAAATAGACCCTTTTAATGCTTTAGGAAATCCATTCAGAGAAAGGATCCTAAACATAGTTCCAGAAGTGCCCCCCCCTCCGCCAGAGCTGGCTCCCCTTGGGACAGGCAGGATGCTGGCAGTGATTTCGAAACCCCTCGTACTCTGACAACAGGAAGTGCTAACTGGGTCCCCAAAAGAAGCCAATTAAGCCATTCACTTATCATCAATTGGTAACAGACAAGAGGAAACACGATTACGAAGCCTAGCTGGCCCTTTACCTGCTTATTTCCACCCATCCACTGAGGTTTGTCGGATGCATTAATGTCGTTAATGCCAGCTTTAATGTTCGCACAGCCTCTTTCATTTCTTCTGCCTATTTTTATGAGTAAAACACTTTCAAAAACCTTTGGGGACTGATGCAATGTGGCAGAGACTATTTGTACTGAACGATGCCATGTATACTTCTTTAGTCATTAAATACATAAAAACGTCTCCTCCTTTGTTTTAAAATCAGCGCCTTGATGTCAACGGGCAACAGGGAAAGCTCTGGAAATAACATTTTTCTTCCCTGACAGGTTCGGAGGAAGGGAAAACTGTTAAAATTTGGATTCTTACAGTTACCCAGGTCTTCTCTTTCGACTTTTTATGAACAGATCCATATTAACATTTAAATACAACTGTGCATTATATTCCTTCAAATATACACTTCAAAAAAAAATGGCAAGCAGGCATTCGAGCAAAACCAAGGTTCACAAAAGGGGAGCAAAAGGGGCTCCTAAACCCCTCTTAAGTCAACTTCTTTAGCCTTTTAGGATGCTCTGCAATTTCCCCCCACACACACACACACACACAACTATATACACTTTTCTGTACTTTCTTCCCTAGCAGACACTTTTTTTGTATGAATATTTTCTTTTGGGGATTTATTTCAAAAATCTAAAAAGCATGACTTCTGAGAGATAACCGCATTCCAGTTTGCATGTTAAGTAATGCAAATCTTGCTAAGTTCTTCCTAAAAGATGAACTAAATAGAGAGTTTCCTTAACCTTGAACCCCCCAGTTGCCTTTCTCTGGAGGAGCCTTCAGGCTTCTGAGGAGCCTGTTTTTCGGGGGATGAGAAGGATGTGCAGGCGGGATCTAAAACGGTTAAGACGGAGCTTCCTGGCCTGCGAAGCTTCTAAAGGCCGGCTCCCTTCAACCCAATAAAATAAAGACCGAGCCCTTTGGGGGATGGAGGCAAGAGAGAGAAGGTGGGTGGCAGGATCAGAGACTCCTCTTGAGAAGTGTTAGAAACACCTGGCGCTTGCTGTGGGTAAATGTGTGTCTATGTACCTCGCTTTACACTTTAACTATACAAGCAGGAATGTCTATGTATGGATGCGTGCCTGTACTTTTTTACTTCTGAAGAAACATATTAGACTTTATATATGCGTAGCCGGCTGGATAGCTCAGCGAGTTTGGTCTCTGACTGTGAACCCAGAGGCTGGGAGTTCGATTCCCCCTCGGTGCCTCCTGGGAGAAAGAGCCAGCCTGGGTAGCCTTGGGCCAGCTGCACAGTCTCAAGGCTGCCCCTAAAGGAAGGGATGGGTAAAGCACTTCTGAGTATCCTCTACCTGGATAACCCTGACATACTCAACTCTTTAAACTAGTCTTTATGCATACACAAATATATTTAGGGAGGGGTGTATGCTTATACTCTACCACAAAGGAAACATAATTAATTAATTGTTAAACTTGCAAAATTACGATACTATGTTTTATATCATATTGTCTTTATGTAAAACTGTCTATATTTTAAATTATTTTTATCTCGTATGTTGTGAGCCGCTCAGAGTAGACTATGTCTAGATGGGCGGCATATAAATGCAATAAATAAATAGATAATAAAACACAATTAAAGAAAGCCACCTGTACATGCATGTGCAGGAATGTGGAGCCTCTCATTTCCAATGAAACTTACTGGACACACTCAGCTGCTGTTGTGCGTTTATGTGCTGTGCATGCCCAGGGGTGTGCGTTTCAAATCTAAATAAAAAACCGGTACTCCACCTGGCCTTCCCACGGAGGGCGACACTAAAATGGGCTGCACCGTATTCTGGGGCGCAGAGGTGGCGACACTGGCTTGAGGAACGGCTGCTGAGCCGGAGGAGAAGACCATCGCTGGAGTGGTACTGACGCAGGAGGAGGAAGAAATAACGGCAGAGTTCACCATCACCTGGAAAAAGAGCAACCATAACAAGAGAAAGAGAGGCCACTTGCTGTGCGAGGTGGGTGTGTTTTGCATATTATTATTATTTTTTTTTTGCAAAAGCTACAGTGTCCACAATATAGGGCAGTGCAAAGGCCAAGGTCTCGGTATGGACATTTCTCTGGCATAATGAATACAAGCTTGCATTTATAATAGCCTAACGACTGGAACGAGTCTTGAGCTTCACCTCATTTCTGAATGTTTTAAGAATTCATCCAGGGGGGAAAATGCCTCACTTTTTTAAAAAACATTCTCTTGTGTGTTGTTTTCATTTGAAATCAGTGTATCCCAAACTGGGGTCACCCAGATGTTCTTGGACTTTAACTCCCGGAAATCCTGGCGTGCACAGCTAGTAATGAAGGCTGCCGGGAGTTGGAATGGAAGAACATCAGGGGGGACCCAAGGTTGGGAAGCCCTGTTTTAGATAAAGGAAGGAAGATTATTTGGCAGCTAGTAACAGTCAATTTCTATACAGAAATTACCTTCTGAGAGTAACTGTACGAAGCAACTCCTTCTTGAGAAGACAGAGAACCAGATCCTCCATCCTGCAGAGACTAGACAGAATAATTAAGGAATGAAAAATATTGTCGTCTATTAAACCACTCTCATTTCAGAAGAAAAAATGTATCTGCTGATAAATATATTACCAGGGACCAATTTTCAGTAATTAAAAACATCCTGTGGCCCTTCCATAGCATTTCCAATCCCTGTGTTATCCCTTTCATACCGCAGAAGCCAAGGAATGGAAGGAGGAAGTCCTTAATTGCTGAAAGAACAAGGAAAAGTCTGTGTAGTCCCCAAGATTTCAGAAATGTAAGAGTGGGTGATAACAAAAATTGCTGCTGCCAAGCTGATGGGTAATTAAAGACCTCTGCTCTCGGGTAATGAAAAGTGGTTAGTCTGGAAAGCCACAGGACAAAAGGAGGGAGTTTTTAATCACCAAATATCACTCTCTGCCACTGATGTCTTTAGTTCATAGGCATAAGTTATAAAACAGGAATTTGGCCATTGGAATATATTAATGAAAGATGCAGATTGTAAAAAAAAAGTCTGACAGTTGAGACAATATTAAATACACACACCGCAAGACAGCATGCAAAGTCTTACTCTCCTGAGTCTTCGCTTGGCTAAATTCTGAATCCTCTCCTTTGCAGACTCACACGGCAAGCACGATCAGCAATATTGCTTTGGCTCATGATTTTGTATTCCAGTTTGCATAAGCTCCCATATAATGACTGGACTATTCAAACACTTGACTGACACTTGAAAGTTATTATCCAGCAGGGCTGGTTGTTATGGCGACATTAGGCATCTGTCACATAGTTCGGAAAGGGTGGAATTGGGTGTCGATGGTTTGGGTCACTGTGTGGTCCGGGGGCTTTGTCTCTCCATCTTGACTACAGCAGCCATCAGTCAATTTCCAGCTTCGAAGCCACAGAGCACCAGCGCCAGGTCATAATCACAACAAGAACGGGGCTTTGATATAACGCATTAGCACTGATGCCTTCATGTCAAAACTGCTAATTTTGCATTAAACAGGGGGGCAGACAAACCAACGCAAGCCGATCTAAAAACAATATTCTGATACCACTTTTTAAAATGCTATCTTTGCAAGAGGAGATGCCTCCATTTGCTGGGAGTCTTGTTTAATGCAAAGCTAACCTTTTTAACGTCTTGCATGTTAACGTTGGTCTGGGGTTTCCAGTTTATGATGATGGCAACATCCACCCAGTTCTAGCTCTGTGGTTCCCAACCTTGGGTCCCTCAACGTTCTTGGAATGCAACTCCCAGAAATTCGGGCCAGCACAGTGAGTGGTGGTGAAGGCTTCTGGGAGTTTTAATCCAAGAACCACCCAAGGTTATCCTTAGATGAAACCTAGCCAGATACAGAGAGCGCCATGCAAACAGGACATGCTATACTGGAGTCTAAAAGCTGCTTCTGTGCTCCAGTGTTAAGATCCTAGCACTGCTTTGGAAAAGGTTAATTTTCACAAATCTTACTAAGTTTGCAGTAGACTCGGTAGTACTAAACACTCCTGGAGCCTCACAGTCTGGATCTGGAAAATATGAGGAAACGTAACATTGAAACAGGGCAGCTCCTGAATGCATTTTTTACATGCACAAGGTTTAAGTTATTCTAAAACCCTTCCGTGGCAAATGTCACTATTCTACTCACCTGAAGGAGTATATAAATAATCCTCATGATACTCTCCTAGGGAAGCAGAGCAGAGGACACAGTGCATCCATTATAAATACAAATAAAGATGAAAAATGCTTAGGGGGGAAAGCTATTTCCAAAACCTTTGAAAATTACTGGCTGAAATCTTGTGGCTTAGGGCACAGAAAGTCACAAACCGAGTAGGCCCACTGAAGCAATGGGACTTACACAGAGAGGTTTGCTCACTCAATCCCCACTGATTCAAGGGGCCTGTCTTCTTGTTGCAACCTACTATGAAAAGTGTCAAGATTTCAGCCCCTGTTGGCTTTTGTAGGGCTCGAGTTATCCAATGCTCTAGGTTCAGAGGATTTTGTCCTAAACGGTAGGAAATGAGCCCAGAAACACATATAGAAATAGGCACAGCCCACTCCCCACCTCCTTTGGGCCACAACGAAGGGCACACAGATCAGAAACAGGCGTTCCCGGGCCCTTCTGGAGACACGTCACCTTAATCCTTGCCTAGATCCAACAGTGCATTTAAAGTTTCCCGTTAAATCCCCATTCATGAAATTCAACCAGCAAGGCCAGTTTATACACCAAACAGGGCAGGCTGGACAGAAGGAAGTCTGCAGAGGTGGGCATTATGGCATTTTTATTATTCCTACTTTTTCCCAGCTGGCAGGATAAAATCTCAATCAGCTTCTTAAGGAAGCCTTAGTGAAGAGAAGGAAGAGAGGAGACTTTAAAAAAAAAAGGGGGGGGGGAAATGGCATATTCCTGTTTTAAAAGACACCACAAGAAACAGACACATCTTCTTTCTCTCTCCCCACAAGCCTTCCGATGGGGGGGGGGGGAAATTGGCATATTCCTGTTTCAAAAGACACCACAAGAAACAGACAAATCTTCTTTCTCTCCCCCCACAAGCCTTCCGGTTCCCTACCATCTTATAGTCCAAAGACACCAATTTAAAGCACCTCTCATTACCGGCCCTTCAGCTCTTACCGTTATCGCTCGGCTCATCCACTTCCTCCTCCGAGGAATTCAAGCCCTGCTTGTTGGGTGGGATGGGACTTGGGCCGTTGGTCGCTACCCAAAATCCAGCTGGAGCAGAAACTATTGGAGCTGGGTTGCTTTGATTCTGGAGCGCAAGAATATTCCATTAGAACCCTAAATAGTGTACGTGACTATCGTCTCTCTCATACTCATCTCAAGTCAGCACTGCCCATTACGCTAGAAACCATTACTCTGAGCATTCACCATTACTCTGAGCATTCATAAAACTTTCCGTCTGTACTATCGTCTCTCTCATACTCATCTCAAGTCGGCACTGCCCATTACACTAGAAACCATTACTCCGAGCATTCACCAAACTTTCTGTCTGTCCATCCAGAGGATGGAAACAGGCTGAAATCCTGTTTCGGCAGCCATAGTGTAAGGTTACACCTGCAGAATGGTGTTGGACCTTATAACCCAAGCAGCTGGCGTCATTCAATCAACTGAGCTGCTCACCATCATAGCTACATACTCAGTTGTGCAATCACAGTGGGATAGTTGTGCAACATGCTCCCTGCCCTCTCCCATTAATACTGTTACTCAACTGTAACTGCTTTCAACTAAGAGCCTTGTGACATTTCAAGGCAAAGGAAAAGCTCTAACTGGCATACAAGTCTTCTAGCCTGCCGCTCGCTTCACCAGATCATGCCGATTGTCTCCAGTGGACTATTCTGCCATTTTTCTTTTTGTCTGCCTTCCGATCAGCTACTCACAGGTAAAGGAGGGAAACTGGTGTCATCCCCTTCTTCTATTTCGTAGAAGGTGATCGTTTCTTCCAAACCTTGGGGGTCCTCCCCAGCCTCGGGCGAAAAGCCGTACTGGCACTCTTTATTGATACACTGCATCTGCCTCCGACTACGGCTGTACGAACTGTCGGGAAGACGGAAAGAGGCTCTTTCAATCCAACAGAATAAGCAACCCCGATTCCTTGCTCCATTTCACAGAGACCCTTTCCAGCTACTTACCGTGATCTGTATGAGAAATTGTCATAGCTCTGATAGCATCTTTTCCCCGCGGTTGGATAAAACGCGATTTCAGACCCAACTAGGTTGTTCCGGTTCAGAAACCGGCCAGATCCTCTGAGTTACAAAGGACAAAAAAAAGTGAAGTGATTCAGATGTCTCAAAAAAAGGAAAGTCACTGGGTCACTTTCATGTAACTTTCCATACTAGCACCACCATAAAGCTAGCTGAGTCTCGGTTTTGCGTGTTCCCTCATCACTCACTAGAAGACCAAAAGTAAATAAGAAACTCCTGTTTCTTATTACTTTCAAATGTCTTCCATCTGGTCATTTTCGTTAGTTCAGATATGGAGGGTGGAGAGCATCAGCCAAGATTTAAGGAAGAGGACCCCTACGATTTTAAAAGCATGCGAAACTAAACCCTAGCATCCAAACCGAGCTAGAAAAATGTCTCTTCCCCTGACACATCTCAGATGCCTCCTACCACTGACTTGCTAGTTTTTTCATTTGAGGAAGAGGGTCTTTGAAAAGATGCAAGCAAGCTTATTTTTGGTGATCAAGTGGGCAGGTTCTGAAACCCTCCCAAGCGATTCAGATTACAATGAGATTATAACGAAACCTTAGAAAATACTTCCTGATGTCAAGGGTTATCTGACAGTGGAACTGAGGCTTTTAAATAGAAAGCAAATGACTACTCAGCTGTGATGGTTTAGTTTTGGACTACTGCCCTGGGTGAATGGGGCTGGACTAGATGACCACGGAGGTCCCTTCCAAGTCTACACTTCTTTTACTACTCTTTGAACAACAGGTTATACTATAGGAAAATCAAAGTTTCACTGAGCTTGGCCTCCCACTCGCCACTGTCTCATATACAAGATCAATCTAGCCTTGCCCAGTTCTGCTATTACCCTTTGAGAATGTGTGGGATAATGCTATACAAAACAAGTGTCTCAATTTCCACAGTTTATGACAATTACCACAAGAACGGCCTTTTTCATTAGCCTCAAAGTTCTCGCTACCTCAACCCTGCCACCCGGAGCAAGGCAGGGAAATTTATAGCATTAAATTATCTGGTGATAAAAAAAATACATCACCAACAGTGGACTTCTTTTTAAAAAAAAATTAAAAGAACGAAATATATTCGATACGCCGCAAGGATGCTTACCTGGACATCCCATAACCCCTTCCAAGCCGCTGAGAGTTCTGGGGGTGGTAATGTTCGTAAGGGCTTAGGTGCCCTCCGTTTTGAGAACAGTGAACTGGAGATGATCGATCTGATGAAACGCCATGCTGTAGACGAGGAGGAAGCACCGGGTGGCCTCTGCTATACGCCACTGTCATGTAAACCTCCTTTCCTCTTACCTTTTTAAAGAGCTTCTTCCGTGACTTTATGTCCATATCTGGAAAGACAAGACACAAGTGGGGGAAAGCCACTGAAGTGGGCGAACATGGAAGCAGAACTCAACAGGTTCTGTTCTAGCGCCATGTTTTCCGTTCATGGGCTTCTTCTCTTGGCTCAGCTGCACGTTAAATAGTGAATGTTCAAAAAGGAAAGCCAGACTTAACAGAAAACAGAAGCTCTGGAGAAAATTGGTAAATGAGTAAGACTACAGCACTCCAGTTCTGGTGAGACGGGTTTCTAAAAATAGTAAGTATCAGGGGTTGGAGAGGTGGGGAATAAATGGCCAAACTTGCCTTGGGATGTGTAACCAAAAGGTCATCTAGCAATCCAAAACGAAGCTGTTAGAAACATCAAGTGGAGGGTTGATTTAAGTACTGTTCTCTGAGGAATCCACCTAGATGGATTTATAAATGAATCACTCACTTCATGCATCCCTCAAGATCAATACGAACTGGGTCTTCCAAAGTCCTCCTTCCAGAACGATGCGGAAAAAAACATGTTATGCTCTACTGCTACAACACTGATTGCCAAAGACACAATTTCCTGAAAGACCACAAACCAAGAGCAGCAAGCAGTGTCTTGCTGAATTCTGGCTTATTGCAGTGCCTGAAGTCACTTCTGCAATCTATCCGCAGCCACAAACCATGATTGAAAGCCGTTGTTTCCAATGGCTCATGAAGTTTAGCTTGTTTAAACCATGGCTTGTTGTTACCTCTGAAACCAAAAGCATGTGTCGTATCTGGCTTGCTTTTGCCCAGCTGCCTGTGTGGAACCAGGAAGTGACAGAAGAATGGGAGGAAAATGAACCAGAAAAAGGGGGAAATCAAACTATGGTTTGTTTCGTCTTGTGCAGGGCAACTCATAGTTTACAGCAACAAACCATGGCTTAAATGTGACATGCAAACACAGTCATGGCGTCACTTTATCCACACCTCCTTTATAAATTGGCAACCTGAAGGCCAGATGGACCTTCTCAGGAGCTTCTCTCTGCTGACATTTACACCAGAGTAAAACAAAGAAATGACTGAACAGTCATTGCCTCTCTTTTACCAGGGTGGAGCAAGCATGTAGATAGTTTTGCTCTGCTTTATTTGTGCTCATTCCCATTTGTAAGTCCCTCTGAAGCATGACTATCTTCAATCAGAATTCAAGAAATATGAGCTGAAGGATTTTAATATGGCACTATACTGTATTATGGCACTGTAAAATGGATTTTATTTTACAACTTTCACTTGAATTTGACAGATTGATGATTACTTTTAATGTTTTTTTTAAAAAAAACAGCTGAAGTGGTTTAACTAAAGCAAAATCAAGAGAAGAGAGGCTGCTGAGATGAAACACACAAAAGAGTATCTTAAAAAAAAGAAGTAATAAGCAGCTACAGGCCCATGAGGTTTATATGGGAAGACAAGGGGCTCAAACCCCTTCATTCCACCTCATTTTTGGCCAATTCATTCCATGTCCTTCTTCCAAAGTCCACGTCCATCTGGACACAACAGATGCCTCTGCCACTCCAGGCACAACGAAGATCCTCTTCCTGCTGCCTGAACAAAATATGGCTCTAATAGTCTCAGACAAGCAATCTAGACTGTGTCAGCCTCATGCAATAGATCAGGAAGGATGGGCCTTGTGGACTGGAACATCTGGAGGACTTTGGGGTGACTATTCGTGTGCTACCTGCTGCCTGAACAAAATATGGCTCTAAAAGTCTCAGGCGAGCAATCTAGACTGCCTTGGTGTCCAACATGTGTCAGCCTCATGCAACAGATCGGGAGGGATGGGCTTTGTAGTCTGGAACATCTGGAGGACTTTGGGATGACTATCTGTGTGCTAAGGCAGTGGTTCCCAACCTTGGGTACTCTTAAGACAAACTGCAGTCCAGTTTCTAGGGCTACAACTCCCAGAACCCCTGGCCAACACAGCTAGCGGTGAAGGCTTCTGGGAGTTTTAATCCAACAACATCTGGGGACCACTGTGCTAGGGCTTAAGGTGACCTTCCAAGAAAGAGATGATTTACCTCTCCCTTCCCCAAACCCAACTCCTGTCATTTTAGACACCAGGAACCCAGCACACAAACTAAGATGACTCAGGTTCACATCTCCCCAGAACCCATTTAAAAATATTCTTTTTCTGTTCCGGGAAGGCTCTGGGAACAAGTAGCTCTTGCCTTAAAGACTCTGCAGCCCAACCCAGCTCTTTCTAAACCTGAAGAAGCAAAGCCAAAAGCAGATGTCCAGTTGCTTACAATGTTTTTTTTCCCCCTCTTCTCTTCCACTTTTTAGAAAAGTTTTTGTCAGTGGAGAGACCCATAACCAGGATAACAATTCTAAGCTGCCCAGCCCTGCTATGGAACTCTGTTCAAACGAATTTCAAAAATCTCCTTTCCAAAAGAAACATTGGACGTAAACACAAATTGCCTTCTGGCTCTTTTGCACAGAAAGCCTGATCATTCTTTAAAAGATGTGTTGTTCGTGCGTTTTGTTGTTATTAACTTTTCAGACATTTTGCTAGAGGCTCTGAGATTTCATCCAACTTCTTTTTTAGAATTCCACTCCGCTGACAGAATTTGAAAAAAACAACAACAACCCAGTGTGATGTAAAGGGCCGTTTAACACATCTGCTCTGTGTAAAGAACAGCTGCACCTTATTTCTCACTGTATTTTTAAATGGGAGTTTCTTAACTAACAAGCTTGATATGCATGCTGCCTTAAGCATCTCCCTCAAACCCTACATATTTTATGCCAGAAGGTGAAGCTCTGTATTGATGACTGTGAGAGAGAAAATCAGCACAAAATGCTCCCAGAAATTGTTAGCTGATTAACAATAACAGATGTGCAGCCAAAGGTTGGGAGTTCGATTTCCCCCAAGGGGCCTCCTTTACAGGGTCCCTTCCAGCTCTGTAGTTCTACGATTATTCTTATTATATTAGTCCAGCTTGTTTAAGAAATTGAAGGTAATATTCACTTTGGAGCATCCATTCAGCTGAACTCAAAATCAAAGTAACTTACCGGTTATTGACTCTAGTAAGTTTTGGTTTTGGCAAGAGGGAAAATTAATAGCAGCAACATTATGTCTAAGAACCAAACACTGTGGCAAATTCTATGGTGCTGAATTTAGACGCCTTGTTTAAATCAGTCGTCTTGAACATTCAACACACTTTGTAAAAAACCTATTTCGATGTTATTAAGCAGATTTACAAGTACACAATCAACTGTCCGCTTCTTTTAAAAAATTATCTCCCACCGTACAACAAATACTCTAAGTGGCAAATACGCAAAGTATTAAAAACATCAGACATATAATGAATCAAGGCAGAATCAGCCAAGCATTAAATACAGGGATGAAAAGGAAATAAATCCATATTCACCGTTGCCTACAAAACATTTCGTTGAATGTGTTTATTTTTATTAACGTTGTCAAATCCTTCTCTAAATATCCATGGCAAAAATCAGCTGCACGAGAAAAGTTCAAAAACCTTAGCAAATATTAATTGTAGGAAAGGTATATTTAAAGGGCATCTGTATCGGGCCACTAAAGCTAGTTCTGTACACAAGATGTGGCAACGTAACGCTGCAGAAAATAAACGTCCATGTAAGCAATGCAATTCGGTCATATTGACAACTTAATGCTTTGTGCGACTTAATTACGCTAAAAATAAATCAGCAATAATGGCTGGAATCCAGATGCTTACCGTGGTGAGTCATAGTACAGTGGGCCCACCGAAGCAATGTGGGTTCAATGAGTCAACTCCTCCACAGATTTCACCGATTCAAATGAATCTAACTCGAGAAGGTCCATTTGAATCAATGGAAATTACAGAGGAGCTGACTCATCAAATCACACACACACACACCCCGATTCAATGGGCCCACGCTTGTGCAACAGACTACACTTAGAGACAGGATTTCAGACCAGTACTGTACGAACCAGCCCCGTCAGACATCCCTACTCAAAGCACAGTAGAGGAGCTGACTCATCAAATCACACACACCCCAATTCAATGGGTCCACTCTCGTGCAACAGACTACACTTGGAGACAGGATTTCAGACCAGTACTGTACAAACCAGCCCTATCAGGCTTCCTCCAAACACCCTACTCAAAGCACAGCTTGCATTAATGGGAAAGAAACATTCTTGAAACATCTGCAAGAATTCCTAAGTGCCGACTAATGATTCAGTGGGTTCACATCAACTGGGAACAGCCATTCAATTCAAGCTCCAGTGAATTCTATGGGATGCTCTCTGTTTTATCCTGTTACGAACAGAACTGGTAGCTTTAAATGGTTTTAATAAATTAGTATCTTCTCTCCTAATATTTTTTTTAACATCAGTTTCAGGACATATTGGTAATTTGTTTTATGGTTTACTATGAAGGCTGTCCACTCCAAATGAGTCCTTCTAGTGTTAATTGATTAAACATACAGGTGTGGTTCACATAAAATGAGTTATATATTCTGAAAAAAACAAAACACCTGTTTTTAAGTGAAGCACACGTTGTGTGTTTTCCAGCGAGTGCCCGACATATAGCCTCTCTCTTGCTTTATCACACAGGAAGGAACATTTCTAGAGATGGGCACAAACTGCCGTTTCGTTTTTTCAGCCGAACAGGTTTAGAGATGGGCACAAACTGCCGGTTCGTTTTTTCAGCCGAACAGGCTTTTGGTGCTTCCTGCCCCGCCTCCTCCAGGAGTTGCTACTGAGTGGGTGCCTGCTGGAGGAGGCAGGGCTAGGATTAGCACCAAAAACCTATTCGGCCAATAAACGTACCGGCACAAAACCACTGGTTTATGCTCATCCCTAAATGTCTCATTCATGCAGATGATTCTTTAACTTCTGTATTTATACTTTATTAATATAAATGGGTGTGCCCTGTGCTTCTAGTGTTTACACACACTCAGAAGAGCCAATGGCAATCACAAACCAAAAACAAAACACCTCTGAATCACAATAAAGAACTAAAACATTGCATAAATCGAAGATGCTAATGCCTGCCTGATGAGGGAGATCTCCACCATATAGCAAAATGCAGTTCGATCCGTGTCAGTTCCTGCTCTTCTGATTATTTCTCACATGGGCATTTTGGGTACTCTCAGCCAATTTGAGTACTCTCAGCCAATTCTCTTTGAAAGCTATTCCAAAGCAAGAGAATTTCAGAGAATTCTCATGGGCGACGTTTGGGTTTCTTGAACTTATCATACTGAGAGGTATCTGAGAAGTGTATGTGCATACCTTCTCTTCCATAATCATCTCAGTGGCCACCGGAAGACACCTTCTCCCACAAATATCCCACTTCCCACATTTCAAATCCCCCAGGAGATATCAGAAAATCACTGTTGCCACTGTGATTTTTTTTTCCAGGTCAGGAAACGGGAACTGCCAGAGATGCTGCCAAGAGACAAAGCAAGGGGTAAAGCAAACGCAGGACACTTTGTGGACAAAGTGACCGCCTAGGACACAGGACACTTGGGGCTGAAACTCTCTCAGCTACGGAAGCTCTCTGGGAGTGTGGAACTAGAAAAACCACTCCTTAAATACCTCTGTTCCCTTGCAGGTCCTATGAGGATCAGCATCGGTCGCTGTTCCCTTGCAGGTCCTATGAGGATCAGCCGTAGGTCGGTTCCAACTTCATGGCACATAACACACAAACACACTTAACAACCAAATGGAGCCGCCTGCAATGTTACAGTCAAGCTCAAAGCTCAGCCACCTCCCAGGTGCATGAATTAAAAAATAAACAGATCTTTATCATCCACTACCTGACTCACTGGGGGCCGGCCACCTTTCCAGTCCACCGCTTTATCATCCACTACCTGACTCACTGGGGCCACCTTTCCAGTCCACCAGCTGAATAACCCCCAATGACCATTCTTTGTCCTTGTGTGGAAGGCACAGCCAGGGCGTGGAATTGTTTCATTCCCAGTTTCAGGGTCCCAAATGCAGCTTTTATTTCTCTTTATTTGTTGGAATGCCCAACAACCAATCCATGATTAAGGATTAGGGGATATAAAAGCATTTTAAAAAAACATCAAAGGAATCTCCTGCAAAACCATTGTAAAAGGCAGCTTCTGGTTGATCCCATTCACCTGCTTACTTCCTCCCAAGGAATCTGATGGCACATCCACATATTATAAACCATAGCTTGTTCTATGGTTTGTTGCTTAAGCCATGAACGGCATAGGAGATGACCAAACAACAGGAGTTTGCTTTTATTTGTAGTTTATTTCTCTCCTACACTGTTAGCACTTGTTCCAGAGTCAGCTAAAGAAAACAAGTTAGTGACAAACCACAGTTACTGGTCTGGACATTACAACAAGCCTGAATTTGAAGGCAAAGAATATTCCGGAGGTTGAGATTGTGGTTTGTAGTTGGTTAACAAACCATGGTTTGTTTACAGAGTCAGAACAAAGTAGGCTTCTACAGACCAAACCATGGTTTGTCAATATGTGAACATACTTGTGCTTTAAACTGAGCTAACTTCTATGTTTTTCTCAAAGTGATTCAGTTTTTTTTTAAATCATGCTACAGCAGGGAAGAAACAACACTTACTCGGACACAAACTTCGATATTTTTAGGGCCCTACAGCAAATCTGCCCTGCAACTTAAACCAGGTAGCAACCATTTCTTTCTCTCCGTCTCTCAAGACTGCTAAAATCCTTATTTCTACCTTTCTGCCCTCCAACATATACTCACCTGCTATCTTTTGATAGTTTCCACCTTTTCGAGTAGAAATTACACTCCATGCAGGAACTGGTGTCACTTGGGTCACAGGCTTCAGATTCACCAGCGGGACGACATGCCTACACACACACATCGCAACTAGTGTTAGCATCACAGGAAAAAAAAAACCTGACTCCAATATGCCACGCACAACAGGTTACCGGCAAAAGCAACTCAAAAGACTTACAATGGGAGCTGAAAGCTTCACCAGCGGGACGACATGCCTACACACATCGCAACTAGTGTTAGCATCGCAGGGGGAAAAAACCTAACTCCAATATGCCACACACAACAGGTTACTGGCAAAAGCAACTCAAAAGACTTAGAATGGGAGCAGAAAGATACTAACGGTAAGAACACAAATTGAGTTGTTATTGATATTGGAAGCTGAATTAGCTGCAAGCATGCTTAAGGGTGCTCAGGCAAGATAGGTAGTAGACTTCATTACGTTAAATGGCCCCCAAAGGAACCCCTTCATTATGTACAAGTCAATAGTAGAGACAGGACCATCACAAACAAACCACCAACAGACGAATCATTGCAGGACTAGTCATTAAAGCCTCTGCATGGACTGACCATTACCATTAAGGTCATTAGGTTGCCCTACCAGAGAGGGTCCTTCTACTTTTGGGGGGGGAGGCTGATTGTAGCAATTCCCTGACAAAGCAGGGTGGACAAAAATCAATGTTTTTTTTTTGATCAATTTAAATCACCAATTAATTTTTTTTTAATCAATTGTTTGATTTAAATTATCAAAAATATCCAATTTCAAAAATTTAAATCAACTTGATTTAAATCAAATCCACCTTGTGACCCAAGTGGTTCTGATCACACCCTTAAGATGTATAGCATGGGGTAACTTGTGGTACTTCTCTATGGGTCGCTTCAGCTGGGGAAACCCAGTGGTCGAACAGAATCGCAACATCCAGGGAGGGATGGAGACGAGATCAAAAAAGGAAAAAGGCGCACATACTTTTCTGCCAGCTCTTCAATGAAGACGGTCACCATGTTATCCTGCCCCACATCTTGTATGTGAGCATTGTAGTATTTACTCCCAGTCTCGAGGCGGACCTGGGAAAATAATAGCTACGGTAAGTCCCTCAAGGCACCGAGGGGGAAAGTCAAAACTTAAAAATTAGCTCTCCAAACTAACGACGCTGCTGAAAACCTGAAATAAGCCCTTTTCAACTTATGAATCAACACACTCGCAAATCTAAAGGACAGAATCCCGATATTTGGTTGCTCAAGTGCACTTTGACACGGAACTCATGCCAGAAGAGACCCCAGGGATTCGTGCCCTGCTGGCATCGATGGGCCATCTCCACTACTTCCACCGGTACAACAAAGACTGGGCAGAGCTAGGCTTGCAGAGCACGATGGTCTTCTATCAACTGGATTCGGCCCTCCAACTTAGCTCTAATTCACTTTTTTTAAAAAAAGGGGGGGGAGAAGATGGTCATCTGAGGTCTGTGGTTGGGCGGGCAGGTTTTAAGTCCCAGGACTCTGATAGATGCTCATTCTCTCAACACTGGGGTGGGGTCGGGGCAAAGACAGTCCTAGTTTTGGCAGCAGACCATAGGGAGAATTAAAAATTGAGCAACCCAAGGTCAAAAACAGGACAGAGGTTGGCAATTCCAGCTTTAAAAGCATGTCCCTTCTCCTCCACCCCATCCCACCCTGGTTCTGCTTATACTTCAAACCAAACCTTTGAAGAAAAGTTATTTCCACTAATGCTTCCACGCTAAACAACTCTCCGTTCTGCCATTCCAGTAGAGCCTCAAGTCGATCATATAATAACAATATCAGCAATGATCTTAGAGCTGGCAGGTCTCTTCTGGATCGTCAAGTCTGGCTCCTGTCAAGGAGGCACTTTCAAGTCGATCATATAATAACAATATCAGCAGTGATCTTAGAGCTGGCAGGTCAAGTCCGGCTCCTGTCAAGGAGGCACTTCTGGGGAATCGAACTCCCAACCTCGGGCTCTGCAGCCAGAGCCCTAAACCACTGAGCTATCCGGCAAAAAGGTGCACTGAAAAAGGTGCACTGAACAAACTGTTCAGCAAGGAGGACTAACCTGGCATTTGTCTCCCAGGTAGTACTGTCTTCCAGCAAAGACCAGGTAATCCATTTTTTGAAGCTCTGAAAAGTGAGATCAAAAAAACATAATCTAAGCTAAGTACTCGCTTCCTACAATAACTCTGTATCACTTGGAAGGAAAATTGCTCTTTTTACTTCTCAGACCTTGACGCTGAAGTTTGCTGCACCACCAGAAGGATGATACACTTTTCCAACTGCTGATGCGAGGTTAATGCAACCAGCAAGACTATTATAAACAAGGCAGATTAACTTTTATCTGTTTTTAAAATATTTATTCATATACATCCACATGTTGTGAATTTCTTGTGCTGACGTAACCCACAAAGCTTCCTCTGTATGCTTAAAACCATGCTAAGACATCACAAGAAGGCAGAGTTGTCTGGAAGAGACAATAAGGCCAGGAAAGGTTGAAAACAGCAGGAAAAGAGGAAGACCAAACGAGAGATGGACGGACTCCCCCAAGGAACCACAGGCTTGAGTTTGAGGGACAGGACATTTTGGATGGTTCATTTTATACAGCTGCCCTCCCCCAAGGAACCACAGGCTTGAGTTTGAGGGACAGGACATTTTGGAGATGGCTCATTTTATACGGCTGCTATAAATCAGAAGTGACTTGACAGCCCAGAATAAGAACAGCAGCACACAAAGGAGCTCTAGGTACCTTTTCTGCTATCCAGCCAAACATCAAACTCAATGTTTCGATAGATATCTGGGTCCAGAGCTTTCAGAACTTTGTAAGGAAAGGGCATCTTCGGATTATCTGCAGGCTGCGGAAGTAAAAAGGAGCAAATTAGACAGAGAACCGGTTGTGACTTGGCTTTTCTCCCTTCTACGAGTGGTGGTCACAAAACTACCCTGCTAGTTTATCCTCCTTGCACCTCCTTGGAGTCCCAATGGCAGGAGCAACAGCCATTGTCTACTGGGCCCCAAGTATGGAACGCAGGAGATCAAGGGAAAGTGTTCTGTAACAAGGCATCATTTTTAAAAAAAACATTAACGACTGGGAATTCATTTTTGGGATTTAATTGGCCTACCCCAGAGGACTGGAGTGAAGCCAAATTATTTTAGGACAGAAGCCATCTCTCTCTCTCTCTCTCTTTTTTGGTTGCTGTTTTCAGGGACTCGAAGAGGCTTGTTGGTGGGTGACAAAAGAAAGAAATCTTCAGCTCGTAGGCACTCTGATTAATGCCATCGAACAAGGAAACCATCTCCCGCAAGAAGTACCAGAAATGCACATTCTGCATCCGTTCTTTGCAGACTTTGTGATTTTTTATGTGCTTTTTTCCCCCAATGAGATAAATGCAGTGAACTTTGTCCCTTTTCCCGTGCCTTTCACAAATCTGTGCATAGAACAGAAACCCTCTCTTTTCTTTAATGGATTGCACCATTAATCCAGGAGCGTATGGAGGTTCAACCATAAACCACAAGTTGTTACATCTTCAGTGCGAGGCATGATCAACTGGGAAAATCCCCCTTTTTTTAAAAAAAAAAACTTAAATGGAATCAATCTAACTGATCCCTAATTGTGAGGCCCCCAGAACGCTGTTGTCAGAAAATATATAATTTAGATGAGCAAAGTCCCTGTATGCCACAGACAAAAAGCACAAGTGGATGAAAGAAAGAAAAGGAAACGTAGAACACAATCTTGTTTTCCCTTGTCTGTTTAAAGCTTGGCTTCGTATGGAATCATTCCAATAAAAATATGATCACAAGAGTGAGTGAATCAACAAATTTATTTCCCCCTTCTCTCCAAATCTGAAGACCCTTCATGAGAAACGCTAAAATCCGTATCTGATGCACTTTAGGGTTTTAAATCTCGAGTTCCGTCTTGGTGGTCTGTGGCAACGAAAGATGTTTAAAGGGGGGGCGACTAAACGACTAAACACACACACGTCTTGGTGGTCTATGGCAACAAAAGATGTTTAAAGGGGGGGCTGCGGTAAAGAAAAGGTTAAGAACCACTGCTGTATACCCATGGTTGCTTAGTACAGTCTTCCCTCGCACCAATTTGTTTTCGAACGTGGCACCGTTTTCCTGGGGTTTACATGTGGTCGTCCTGCAACCACCAACACCATTTCAAAAGCAGAATTCAGAATGGGAAAACCATAAACAGTTCTTAACCCCAGAAGAGAAGAACCACCATGGAAGGGGGAAAGGGTGAAGAGTTGAGGTTTAAAAACGGATCTCGCACACTCCAGGGAAGAGATACTTTGCAATGTAAGATGCCCATGGCGCATCAGGGTGTCCAAACCTTGGCCTCCTCGGTGCCCTGTCTGTACTTTTCCTCTGGCTGGTGGGCTGAGTCATAGCCTTCCCAATCTTCCATCCTAAACAATTAAACACACAGAGGATTGAAAATGTCACTACCGCTCAACCAGCGCTGAAAAACAAGCATATCAAAAACAAGCATATCAAGGGTTCTGCAAGTCTTAAAAAGCACCCTGGTGCCATCGTGTGGTTGATGTTGATCAAACACTCTTCGTCGGAATTGTTGCTCATATTGGTCTGATTTTCTGAACGCTTATTCTCAAAATCACAACCGCAAAGTCACGAAGTTTCGCACTCCTGGCAGTAAACACGGGGAAGAGTTAAACAAAAACTAAACATAAATGGACCTCGATCTACACGCTCCTGCAGTGGGGGCCCCCAGGGGTTCATGGACGGCAGCTCCCAGAAATCGTGGTCAGCACAGCCAGTGCTGAAGGCTGATGGGAGTTGTAGTCCAAGACCCTTTGGGGACCCCAGGTGGGGAACCCCTGCCCTAAAGAGTACAGAAAAGTTTATAATGACACGCTGACCCTAAAATGAAATCCAAAGTGCAAGAATCTAAAGATGACTTATTTAGAGAGCTGAGATTTTTTTTAAAAAAAATCACGTTCAGTTTTTTAAAAAAGAGCTACCTCTTTTCTGGAGCATTTCTGGACGCTTTCTCAGGTAGGCAATCAAAGCCGGCATCCTCACTCCCCACAGAACCGACGCTTCTGTTTTTCTTAGCCCCGCTTCGAAACATCTCCACAGCCGTCCTCAGTTCCTCTTCGTCCACGTTGAAGACGTTTTTGTACAGAACCTCATAGAGCAAAGCTGGGTGAACAAATCATAGGGGCTTTTAAAAGGGGTTTATTAAGCTGGCCCTTAAGGTCGAAACATAACAGCACTCTCAAAGCACACACGACCAACTTATCTGGTTGGCTGTATTTCCTTTTGGGTTTCCACCACCATAGAATCATGGAGTTGGAAGGGGGCCTCTAAGGCCATCAAGTCCATCCCCTGCTCAAGGCAGGAATCTAAGTCCAAGCAGATCTGACAGATAGGTGTCCAATTTTCTCTTGATGGCCTCCACCATCAGAGCCCTCACCGCCTTCTGAGGTCATGGGTCCCATTGTCGTACTGCTCTAACAGTTAATAAGTTTTTCCTCATATTCAGCTGAGATCTGCCTTCCTGCAGCTTGAGCCCATTATGATGTGCCCTGCACTCTGGGATGATAGCGTAACAATCCTGTCCCTCCTCTGTAGGACTACCTTCCAAATATTTGAGAAGCGCTATCCTGTTTTTAGCCATGGAAATAATCAAACAACTATTTACGATAAGGAAAGAGATGGGGGGGAGTAAGAAGCGATATATTACTCACACTGGCAAATAGCAGCATTTGACTGAAACTGTTTGGTATACACGGAATCGTAATGACCATTACTCGAACAACATAGCAGGATCTGAAAGATAAAATTCTTATTTTTTAAAAAAAAAAAGTTGAAAAGCTTCTATTTTTCAAGGCTTTCAAAAGTTACCTTTTGGGGCTGTTCACGCACATAATCCCCCCCCCCAGGCAGCATTTCTGAGCTCTGATGGTTTTGGCCCCGATCCAAAAAAGCTACACACAAAAATAACCAAGCAACTTCCCTGACACATTAAAAAACGAAGGAAGGGAAGAAACAGGAGACCATCTGTCATAAGCTCACTAAGTTGGCTGCTTCTGGGACTGCAGAAAAGTTAACAAGTTCCTTCCAGGAATTAAGCTCACTTTTCAAACAAATACATCTTCAGGGGGGAAGGCTTCATAAGTCAATATTAAATGTCCCACCTTGTCATGAAATAAACTCAGACCCCCTGCCTGGCAGGGCAAAAATACCACCTCAGGCAGCCTTCCAGCTGTCTCCCCCGAAAATGTAGGACACAAAATGGAACTGTTAATCCCAACAAGAGCTAACTCAACCAATCAACTGCCAAAGGGTTAAGTGCGCTTCTGTGTAAACCCAACTGGGTCTACTCTAGTAAGAGGCAACCGATTTCGGTCTCCAGTCACTCCCTTCTGGTGGAGGACAGGATGGTTCTGTGGTCCCCAATCTTGGTGGCTGCCTCAGTTGTGGTGATGAGACACTAACCCCACACTACAAGGGCTGAGGTGAATTCCCAACACATGTCTGAACAGACAGACGGAGAAGGGCCGTCACCTTTTCTTTCACCTCAGAACCAGGTATGAAACTTGAACGGGAAATCTGAACCTCTACGGAAAGGAAGGTTCCTCTTTCTATGACCCCATTTCCAAATTATCATTTCAGGTCGCTCTTTAGCTACTGTGGCTTGCTGGCTTAAATCTCCATGGGTTCGGATCCTGCCTGCACCTGGAGGAAGGCGCTGAGGATTCTGGATGTTGAATTTCTACAGTTAACCGCTGAGAATTGAGCATTCTGATTCGCCAACAACATTTGCAGCGGAAGGTTCTCCTCTCAGAAGTTGGGCTTTTAAGTCAACCGCATTGACAGAACAGGCCCAAGCTTTTAGAAGGACCCACCAACAGAGTTAAGTGCTTTATTAAGAACTCCCATGAAGCACTGATTTATTTATTTTTTTAAAAAAGTAATTATTTTTTATAGCAACTTTCACCATAAGGGAAGAACTCCCTGCTGTTCTAATGTGATTACTTGCTCTTTCTTACAAATGCACACTTGATTAAAAGGAAGGGCAGCCTCTATTTCCAAGTACTCGTTATTTCTTGATGAGGCATCCATTACACTGAATTTGACGGATGAGTCCATCAAGAAAAATGGGGGAAGAGGTATTCCAACCCAAGGTCATATGGGGCTAAATCAAATTCCCAATGAACGTATAGGACGCGTTAAGTCAACATTTACCCAAATCCCATTGATTTAATGGGTTTACTTCAGCTGGATTACTGAATTTAAACCATAGCTTTTATACTGGAGACCTGGCATGCTTCAGTGAGTGGACCGCCCGGCAGTGAAGCCAGAGACCAAGCATTCACGCTCACACTGTTCTTCCCAGCAGAATCATAGTTTCTAATGATGCATCCAACATAATGTGTAATTTGACCCTCAGTCAATTTATTAAGCAAGGAGCAACGTATTTCAAGTCAAGTCACCCTTTCTTAGGGAACAACTAAATGAATTCCTTGGAAGAATTGCTAACATACTCTGCCAGATGGCTTTTGACCCATAGATTTGAGCCAAGTGGATAGTTTTCTGTGAGACCATCTTTGTCCACAGCCCACGGCAAATTTGAATGAAGAATTGGTAGTCACGTCTTTTTTTGTTTAAAAAGCTACTGGAAGGGGAGGATTTGATCTAGATTGGCTTACCTTTTCTTCAAACCCATTGTCTGTAGCATAAGATGGTGGCTTCCCAGGGTGCCGATAAACAATGAAGTCCCGACTAGGTAAACAAGAGTTAAGCAAGAGACATTTAGCTCATGATTCCCTGGAAATGCTAGGAGGGAAATACCAGATAAACCAGGGTGGATGATGTACCAGCTTCATAGACGGGTCTGGGCTACAACTCCCAGTGTAGCCAACATTGGGAGCCTAAAGTCGAATAATCAATGGAAGGCCATGACTTCCCTAACCCCATTCTACATGGAGTTACAGCCCCCCCAAAAAACACACCCACAATCCAAGTCGTACCCTTGCAACACAACAATGCCATCAAGTCAATGGGCTTCTTAACCAGTCCGTAAGAGTCCAGGGACACATTTGTTCCTCTCTATGCAACTCAACGCACTTTAATACAAAGGCAAGGTTGAGTTTAAGGTGCAGCTCTACCCTTAGAAGACTTCATACAACACCAACAATCAATTTGAAATGAACCAAGCAGCGGGCCAAGAAAGATGTCTTCATCATATTTTGGAAATCTTTATTTTTGGGGGTGTTGGTCTGGAAGACCCCCGGGAGCTTTTCTGCTCTCCCTCCCATCCCGAGCTCATACACCCCTTTTGCCCGGAGGGAACAAGTTTCTTTGGTAAACAGGAAGCCCAGGCAGCCGACTCAAAAACTGTCAGCTGCAATTACACTGAACTTCAAATTGCATTTTAAATGCACAGCAAGATGCCCTTCCATTTCCCTTCAGGGTTTTTTATTATTAATTTTTTTTTAAAAAAAACCCAGAGCAGTCCACTTTATAACTGTGGGTTTCAAAATAACGCATCTCCTTCACCTACGTACACTTTTGTGGAACTTCGAAGAGCGAAACTCTAAGCAATGTTCAGAATTGTGCTGTTTGCCAGCAAAAAATTTTCCTTCTTTTAATGCTAACCACAAAAATGGCACTAAGTAGCGGGTCAAAGGCATGAGGACAGAAACCGTTCACCTTTTCTCCCTTAAGCAGCTCTCTGGCTAAACACCCAAACCCACCGGCAGAAAGTAAACTTTTCCTCTAAGTGGGGAAAAGAAAAGCAGTAAAAGGTTGTTTGGTTATTTTGGTGGGGCAGGCAAAAAAGCCACTCCGGGAAACAGGAGCAAAAATCCTATACAGCTTAGATAACTCTTTGAGCAGCAGCTTCTACAAGGGTTCTTATCGTTCAAGAGGTCCTTCTGTTCAATCAACGAGGAAGTCAGAGGTTTCCTGACATCACTTCCCATTTTCCTAAAAAGATACAGCAGGCAATGGCTCCCGTCTCCCCAAATGTTTGGAGGGTGACAGTTTGGAAACAGCGGATACACCGATTTACATTTTCGAGGCCCCCCTTTTCACATGGTTTCTGCTTCAAGGAAACGTTATGGCCACTGGCTTCAGTAAAATCAAGGCAAAAATGTGTGGGACTGAAATCCATTAACAAGTCACAACTAGAGCAGGCCCAGGGAATGGACGGGGATTTCAGATCGACTCGTTAAGTTCCATTGACTCAAGAGTCCTCTCTTCCAGATGTGACTTACTATTGGATTTCAGCCACAGCGCTTGAAAAAACAACAGATGTCAGATGTTTGTGTGTGTGCAAAGAGCTACCACCCCAGGTGTTTTCCTAACAGTCCAAAGACCTCCACCACGGTTGACGCTGGAAGATCAAATACCTACTTATAGATCAACGAGAAGGCACTGATTTCTAGCTGTCCAGCGCTTTCCTGTTTGGACAGAATAAAAGATAACTCATCACTCTGTAAATCGGTCGTTGTAAAGAAACTTGGCACAGACTTGCTTCTAATATAAAGCCCGCATTTCCATCTCAGTAAAAAATTTGTCAACTGTTAGGAGCAGCAGTTGATAAGTTAAACCACACGCTCAATGCAGGCTAAAGGCTTCTCAGGTTCCTTGTTTCAACTTTGGACCCTACAAATCCTGGCTTTCTACTATCAAAATCAAAATGAAGATCGCTTACAAATCAATTAAACCATAGTAATTTGAAAAGAATTCCAACAACAGCACGTGGCAACGGCCGTTTAAATTGGGTGGTTGCTTATGATGCTTATATACTGACTCACAGCGCTTATTAAGGACTTTCCAGGAGGTTTATAGCATAAATATGTAAGTCATTTTACTGACTTAAGCAGGATGGGAGGCTGAGTCAACCTTGAGCTGGCTACTTGAATCCACTGGAAACAAAAAGTTGTGAGCAGAGGCTTGACTGCAGTACTGCAGTTTAACCATTGTGCCATGAGGCTCCTTTATGTCTTCATAAAACAGCATTTTTTTTTTACAAAAAAACACAATTGGCAGTAGCAAATTAAGTACACATTATGAGAAACTATACACTTGAACGTCCCAACTGTGCCTCCTTCAGCTTTACTTATCTTGTGAGGTCTATATCATCTGAGGACTGAAACAAGGGCAGTTAACTGCAAGGGGACTTTTATTGGGAAAATGTATTTTCACGGAAACAATTAAAATTGGCTCTCCATGTGCTTGTAAAAAGGTGGCAAAGGAACAACACTAACAACAAAGAGGAACACTCAGATAGATCTGCCTGGATACAGACCTGACTGTCACATTTTAACTCATTGATACAATTTATTTCTATTTCTTGGCACACATTCTAGAATATATTATGACGACTAAAAAGCCAGTTTGGCCAACTTGCTGCCATCTTGCTGGTTTCTGGACAGCCTTTTTTCAAAACAGTATGGGGCTTTTATTAAATTTCCCCAGCATAATGCTGCTTTTTCTGTGCAGGTCCGACACTTCAGAGCACTCCTAATAATAAATAATAATTGCTTGCTGTCAAGTCCATTCTGACTTATGGTTAAAAAAAAAAAGGTTTTCCGGGCTGTCAAGTCCATTCTGACTTATGGTAAAAAAAAAAAAAAGGTTTTCCAGGTGTAGAGGATACTCAGAAGTGCTTTACCCTTCCCTTCCTCTAGGGGCACCCTTGGGCTGTGCAGCTGGCCCCAGGCTACCCAGGCTGGCTCTATTCTCTGGGAGACCCCAGGGGGGGATCAAACTCCCAACCTCTGGCTCCACAGTCTGAAACCTAAACCAAAATGTGAGGCTTACCTTGGGGTCTCCAAGGCGTTCCAGGTATTTTTCAAACGACCCTTCCACGTACTTATCCAAGAAAAGAGAATGGATTGCAATTAATAAAGCGGTTAGTCTTTGCCAGCATCCTCAGCTCAGAGGTAAGACTCTGCGCTCATTTCTAGAATTGGCGAATTGTAAAAAAAAACCAAAGTGCTGCTGATTTATCCCATTCAGGTAACATGGGTGTGGCCCCCCAAAATCCAGGTTTTGATGGGTTTTCAAATCCAGATAAATACAAATCAAGAAATCCAGATAAAATTGATAGGCTGGAAAACCTCACAAACAGAGGTTCTGAGAGTCAGCTGGACATTAAAGTATAGGAAAAAGGTCACATCTCCAAATATCTAACAATGTAGTGAAATAATCCAAATTTTCCTGCAGTAAAAAAGTGAGGGTCCTACATTTTTTGAACTCTGCAGTGAAATGGGATGAATAAAGGTAGCAAGAATGGAAGATTTAACCCTCCCAAAACCACGCGTTGGGGTACCGACCAAGATTCAAGCATCGTATTTTTATCTGGGAGCAAATTGTTCTTGAAATGCATGTTTCTCGTTTAAATGACACACGTTTAGCCTCTGTGTAGATTTGGATGGATGGATCCTGACCTACAGACTAAAGCTGAGCTCCCAAGGGATCTTTGCCCTCACAACAAACAATATTCACAGAATCTGCCGCTACCGACTGGGAAATTAAATTAATTTAGACACGGGGGCTGGCGCCAGTGCCCTTTATAATAAAAACATCAGATAACTGATGCTTATTTATCCGACACAACGACAAAGTTATTCTGTATCTAAATACACTTCCATCCAAATGTGAGAGCGTTTTTGCCTTGAGGTGGATTTCCAGAAGGGATAAGTAGCAATTAAAAGTTTGTGTTTTACATGAAATGTAAATAAAAATGCAAATGCTTACACGCAAAAGCTATTTCATTCCCGAAACGTATACTTCATAAACAAACATACTCACAGACTCGAAATTCCGCTGGTTTTTCCTCAAGAATGAAACACAAGCTTTTCTAACTGCCGCATGATGAATCTGACACGCATACACCTACAAATTAAATGAGTTACTTCTTCCCACTAGAAATTTGAAGGCCAGATTCAATGCACGCTTTTTGAAAGGATGCCCCCCCACCCAAGTAGGGCTATGGGGAAATTGGGGAGTCCCATACTTCCTATTGAAGTAACTGGGAAAAGCAATGGGGCTTACTCCAGAGTAAGTGCACTTTCTGGACTTCCATCATCCTCCATGTCTCTTTCCTTGCACTATTTACACATACACAGAAATGCACCAGGCAAAACAGTCCCTTCATGCAATAACTGAAAGGACACTTAAAATCAAACCATCTTCAAAGCTTAGGGTAAAAAACAATGAAAACATTTTTTTTTCCTGCCTTAAAGGCAAACTGAGGCTTTGGAAAAAGAAACCAAAACTTGTAAAAGAAATGATCCTTGGAGCTAGCAAGGTTTTCGTTTTGTTTCTTAAATAAGAGTGTTGTGCCTTGTCGCTTGGAATCTGTTTTTAGTGTTGGCTTGGTTTTCTGCTTTTTGTGCGGCATTTGTTTGATTTATTTAAAAATTTGTACACTTGCCGTTTTTAAATATTGGCTTCTAAGCTACTTTGGGTCCTTTTTTCGGGAGAAAGGTGGGGTCAAAATATTTTTAACAGTTAATTATGCAATTCTTCCTGCTTCAGTTCTTAAAAACTGGGTATCAGACCATTTGTATACTGTATTTTTGTATTACGCATGCTGACCAACGAGACACCTCAAGGACTACCAAAGAAACACACATACACAGTTCAAGGCCATGTGGTTGTAAACGAACAAGGCTTACAAAAATATATCTATTCTAGCGAAGTCAGAGGAAATTCAGAAATCATGTGTTTATCTTTAAGGTATAATCAGAAAATATTTCCTAAAACTCCTTTTTATGTAAAGCATGTTAAATGAAGACAAATTCAACCGAAACACCACACATCCATCTTATTAACACGCTTTGGTTTCCATGCTCTGGATATGGAATTGTTTTATGGTGCTGCTTTTAGCAGAATGAAATTATTTAGAGCCGTTCTTTAGCTCTACTCAGATTGCCAGCCTGTAGGAACTGTAGGCAGCCTCTCAATCTTTAACCAAAATTGGGGCAATTGGGCAAGAAATCATAAATGCCAACCTTGGCTCATCCTTCCTTCCTAAGGGGAAGGTTTGTCTCTCCCCACAAACCCCATTGCCAAAGCAAAGTGGCTGGAAACCCCTCTGCACCCCTACAAACTGTGACCACTAGGAAAGGTTTGGGGTAAATGGAGACCCGCTCCCTCAAAAGCAGGCCACCCCACTCCTCTCTCTCTCTGCCTCCCTATCCCCAAAAAGTGGCTTTAATTTCCTCAAAACCCAGCCTTTTCCTCTCACCCGCCACTGGCATGTGGTTAAGCCAGGCACGTGGAAAACAGTGCCCCAGTGTACTACTCCAGGACCCATGTGACCGCTCCCCTCTCTTTACGTACTATAAATGCCTGCTTTGCCTCTACCTCCAGCGGACCCCCATTCTGCCCCCCCCCACCAGTTCCAGCAGGCATCCGCTGCTTCCATACCCGCGGGCAGAGTCTGGGCTTGGGCTACACCTCCCAGCCCCCCAGGCTCGGGGGAGGGTGGGCATTGTAGTCCACCACCCAAAGGGAGCCTCCCCAAAGCTCTGGCCAGGCTTCGCCCGGGCTCCGGGACGCGGAGGTCCGAGGGGAGGCTCCGGGGAGCCCCGGCCTCAGTTTTACCTGCTCGGAAATGGCCCGAAAGAGGCAGGTGGCGTCTTTGGCCGTGAGCTTGCGGTAGAGGCCCAAGCTGGCCAGGTACTCGTCCATGGTCACCTCGCTGAGGGACTTCTGGCCGAAGTATTTCTTCCACCCTTTCTGCATGGCTGTCCTCGGGCGGCAGGGAAAGCGGGGGCGGCAAAAAGACCAGAGGCGGAATTTGGGGGGAAAGAGAAAGAGGGAGACGGGGGGCCAGCCAGGAAGCTCGAAGTTCAGCCCCCAAGTCCCCTTTTCTGGGTGAAGAGCCCCGAGCCAGAGAGAGGGGAGAAAGGAGGGTTGGGGAGGCAGAGGAGCCCCACTCCCCAAAAAAGGTGGCGCAGGAGCGGAGGGAGGGCGAAAGCGCGCGCGAGCGGGAGCGGCGCCACGAATTGGTACAGATGTTGGAGCTGGTTCACCATATGTAGAAATAAGTAGAGGACACTTCATGGAGAAATGTTCAAAGAGGAAGCCGTGCTAGTCCTTTATCATGTCTAACAAAAACACTCTCCGCCGCGTGGCTCCCACGTGCCGGGCAGGAGGCGGGGGGGGAGGAGGGGCCCGATCCACCCCCCCATCCAGGGGCTTCCTCCCCAACGGGCTGCGCCCAAGCGCAGGGGAGGTGGCCAGCCTGGGACTACAAGGCCCAGTATCCCCCGCCAGCGCGGCCCGAGAAGGAGGCCAGGAGATGATGATGGAGGAAGGGGGGGCGCGGTTGGGGAATTACAACTCCCAGGCCCGGCTCATGCGTGGGGTTTGTAGTCTGGGGGAACGGAGGGTCTCGAAAGCCCCGGGGCTGGAGCGGATGGGAGTTGTAGTCCCCCACCACAGATCTCGTAATGAATCTTCCGGGGGTTAGGAGCCCTTGGCTGGAATCCTGCTAATTTACACTAGAGTAGGCCCACTTGAATCAACCCGTCTTGGGCAGCGGAGTCGTTCCCAGTTCTGCTCTCGGGAGCTCCGCTTTGAGCTTGCAGCGCGCGTCGTTCGCAGCTCCGACGAAGAAGGCAGCCTCCCAGGATCGCTCGCAGCGTCGGGAGGGACACACACGTGTCCTACGTACCACCCGGGATGGGCAGATCAAAAGCGGGCGGGGGGCCTGCCCCTTTACGGAGGGCTGTGGGGTGGAGGGGAGTTCCGCAGGTGTTGCTGGCCTGACCGAAAGGACACCTGCGGAATCCCCCCCTCTCCCTCTTGCGCCATTCTTATTAAAGGGGACGGAGAGGTATCCTTTCGTCCTCCCTTTCCGCGTGTATTGTGTCTCCTCTACCTGACCGGTGGGGAGGGGGGGTCCCTTCTAGTACAACACACCTCCATCTATTCTGGCCATTTTCCACTACCTGTCTCCCTTGGCTTCGGAGGTAACAAAAACTAAAATAGGGTAGCCCCCTCGGAGGCTGATGTGTGTGAAAGAGTGGATGGATGGCAAGCCACATATTTTATTTATTTTATTTCAATCTATTTATTTAAAAGAGTTTTTACTCCACGTTTCTCCTTCAAAAGGACCTATAGTGGCTCATATGGTTCCAAGGCAATAGTTAAAGCTAACAAAGGAAGTGTACAAACACTAAAAAGGATCAAAGAGGCACCACACTATAAGATGGTAAACAAGCAACACCAGGAATACATTTGAAACACAAACATCCATTTAAAACCCCCACACAGGGTGCAAGTCAAGTAAAAGACGGTAAACAAAAGCAACACCAGGAATACATTTGAAGCACAAGCATCCATTTAAAACCCCCACACAGGGGGCAAGTCATGCCCGAAGAGAAAGGTCTTTGCTTGCTTGCAGAAGGAAAGCCAAGATGGGACCCATCTGGCCTCCAGTGGGAGGGAGTTCCACAGTCTCCAGGATCAGCCACAGAGAAGGCCCCCTCTGGTGTCCCCACCAAATGCACCCGTGAAGGGGGTGGGACTGAGGAAGGGCTCCCCTGATGATCTTAACCGCCAGACTAGATATGTAGAGTCATGGTGGTGCAGGAAGGGAGCAGATCTATTTCCTGTTTCCAAAGTATATTCAACCAATATATCTTAGGCTCATTCATTGTGCCTTCAGCTCACGTTTATTTATTTATTTTGAATGCTTATATCCCACCAGTCAAGAGTAAACAAGAAAACCAATCCCACCCACCGAACCAAACGCCACACCATCAACACCCTCTACCAACACTGATAAAGAATGAACCCAAGGGCAGTGCAACAGGGAGGCTCCTATTCATAACTAAACCTGGTGTGTGTCTTTTAAATAGTTTTGGTCTTTAACATCCTCTTAAAAATTGGGAGAGAGGAGGCCTGGCGGGTCTCTAAGGGGAGCCCATTCTGCAGGGAGGGGCCACGATCCGAGAAGGCTCAATTATTAATGGAGGTCTCTTTTTTTTGCCTCTCTCAGTGTGGGGGGCTTGTAAGAGCCAAACCTCAGAGGACTAGGTGGCAGGGGTCTTCTTAGATTGTCTTAGTTCTGATGTATGACACAGCCTCCATGCGCCTAAAGCTCTCTGCATTCAAACTGGCTGTCTTTGTTTTTATATGAAAATGACTCAACGTAAACGTAAAAGTTGTCTTGTGAAATTGCTGGAGAGTTCAGTGGCTTCTTAGGCAATGGGTTGGGAGTTCGATTTACCCCACTGGGCCTCCTTGACAGCGTCTGGACCCGATGATCCATAGGTCCCTTCCAACTCTGCAGCTCTAAGATGATTATTATTATACACACACACAAAAATTGGGAGAGAGGAGGCCTGGCGGGTCTCTAAGGGGAGCCCATTCTGCAGGGAGGGGCCACGATCCGAGAAGGAAAAATTGGGAGAGAGGAGGCCTGGCGGGTCTCTAAGGGGAGCCCATTCTGCAGGGAGGGGCCACGATCCGAGAAGGCTCAATTATTAATGGAGGTCTCTTTTTTTTGCCTCTCTCAGTGTGGGGGGCTTGTAAGAGCCAAACCTCAGAGGACTAGGTGGCAGGGGTCTTCTTAGATTGTCTTAGTTCTGATGTATGACACAGCCTCCATGCGCCTAAAGCTCTCTGCATTCAAACTGGCTGTCTTTGTTTTTATATGAAAATGACTCAACGTAAACGTAAAAGTTGTCTTGTGAAATTGCTGGAGAGTTCAGTGGCTTCTTAGGCAATGGGTTGGGAGTTCGATTTCCCCCACTGGGCCTCCTTGACAGTGTCTGGACCCGATGATCCATAGGTCCCTTCCAACTCTGCAGCTCTAAGATGATTATTATTATAGAGTCTGGATAATTGCTTAGCGTATATTTAGGAGAGGAGTCCCTCTGCTGGTAAAACACACGTTTGTCACGGCAGCGCGTGCTGCTTCCACTTGTCTCCCGTATTTTAGCATCCTTTTGTCTGGTGGCTGGTCATCGGCAGACAAAAAATAGGCCTAATTTAAAAGTCAAGAGATCATGAGGGACTTCTCAAAGGAAACTCCATCACAGGCGGGGAAAATTCAGAGAACGTCATTCCCTTTAAAGTCTCATGTGACTCTCAGTATATAGTGAAATTTCTTTTAAGATCTGTACTACCTATGCCATTTCTGAGTTCTGGAAATCGGTGTAATACCTCACAGACCCTTTGTTTGAGGACTCTATATGGGAAGGATTCTTCAGAAGTTTGAATCCTAAATGGCTAGTCTTTTATTTAGAACAAAACTGACCCAAAGCAAAATGAAATACCCACAACCATGATTCTTTTTCCCCCCTCTGGCCACTGAAATCGCACCAAAGATACAAGTTAAGGAACATCATGCTTTCCTCAGCCCGGCCCAAAACATAGTTTTGTTTGGTGACAGGAAACCACACGGCCATTCACATCCACACTGAGTGTAGGCAGATAAGGCGATTTTTTTTCCCAAACGGGCAAACCCTTTTATTCATATGCCCATCACTTTGTCCAAGAACGCAGCAAATTTCTCTGGCTGCCCAGGAGGGAAAGGCTTCAGAGTGGACACATCCATGGACTGAAGGGTCTCCACCAGGGTTCTAGAGAGGAAAACAAACAAACAAGTCCCCCCCAAAAAAAGTTAATGGGGGAAGAGGCAAAGGTGGAGAAAAAGCAACCTGTCTTTTCTCCAAGTCACTTACGCTGAGCAGGGAAGACAAATGATATTCATCCATGCTTTCTCTTCCTAGCAATTCTCCATGTAGATCAAGCGAACTCAGTGGTTCCCAGCCTAAAACTCCCAGAAGCCTTCACCACCAGCTGTGCTGGCCAGGATTTCTGGGAGTTGCAGTCCAAGAACATCTGGATTACCCAAGGTTGGGAATCACTGGCCCAAGTTATTGTGACACTACCAAAGGCAGAGGATGGGCTTCAGAGACAAGCAATGCTGATTTCTGAGGATATCGTCCGTGATCTAATGCCGATTCTGCATAGAGATGTCAAATTTCCACTTTTTTTTCTGGGGAGGAAAACCAGGATAAGAAGTGTTTTTATTTTATACTGCTGCTCTGGAGTTCCTGCGTGCCAGTGTGTTCCTGCTTTGGCCTGGAATAACAGAATAGGTCACACAGAATAGATATGTCAGGATCTGGCCCACACTGCCCTGGCAGCTGCAGGATTGGGGCCAACCTGACCCAGGAGTGGCTGGGTGTTTGCAGGCTCAGGCCCTGGCCTGGGTAGCAGCTGCTGGGCCACTCATGAGGCTCACCTGGAAGCCTGGAGGGAAGGGCTATTTAAGGAAGGGTTCTCCCTCCCACAACTGGTTTCAGAAACCAGAGTCTTTAGTTGGGTTGTGCTGATTGCCTTGCTGCTCCTGTGTTCCAGCATCTGTTCCTGCGTTGGTATTTAAGGAGTGGCTCTCCCTCCCACAACTGGCTTCAGCAACCAAAGTCTTTGGTTGGGTTGTGCTGATTGCTTTGCTGCTCCTGAGCTCCTGTGTTGGCCCTTGCTCTCGCTTCTGCTGGCCTCCTGCATCTCGGTGCCTTGTTCTGCCTCCATGTTCTCAGCTTGGGGCTCTCACCTCTGCCTGGTCACAACTAACTGTGTGTGTCTTTTGGATCCTCTGCGTGGTGAATTGGGCTCTGGTGCCCTTGCCTCCAGGGGAGGAGGGCTGCCTGGGATCTCTTGGATGGTGACAAATCTTGAGCGAGGATCCTCTCTTTTGAGCAAAAGCAGGGAGTGTGTGTGTCTCTCCAGAGGTTCTTGGACGTTGGCTCCCTACATCCCTAGTCCACAGGGACAAATGCGAGGAATTTTGGGAGCTGTAGTCCAACAGTAATGCAAAGGCCACACATTAGAGCAGTATGATAGTAGAATCAACCATCTCAGGAGGTGGTGAAGCGCTCCAATGCTGGAGGCCTTCACTAGAGAATGGGACAACCCTCTGTCAGGTCTCTTCTGACTTGAGCTCCTACCCTAAGCAGGGGGGTTGGGCATTACAGCCTTCTAGGCCCCTTGCAACTCCATAATTCTATGAATCTAGCCTATTTAGACAACGTTGTTAACAAAGAGTTTTCTCTTTGGGTTTTGTTCCGACTTTAAAAGATCCTGAAGCCAGCTCAAGTACCCCCCACCCCCCTTTTCCAAAAGCTCTCTGCATCAGATGAGTCCAGACGGCTAGTAAACAAGACTGATCGGATGCTATGGCATGAGATTATTTTTTGGGGGGGGGGGAGAGGAGCGTCAAGGAGAATGTGCAGAAATGCCACCACACCTGGTATTGCAGTAGAAAAGATGCCCGTCTCGGCAGAGCTGCTTGGCCAGCTCTAACTGATGGTTGTCCATAAGCTTGTCGTTCACAACTACGAGGAGTGGCTTCCCAGCTTCCAGGACTTCCAAGCAGCTGCCCGCACCTGTAGAAGGATAACGAGGACAAAGCGTTTGCATTATTCTTCGTGAAAGACCATGTGGCAGTGAGGATGGTTGACCTGGGCATGGAGAACACTGGGAGTTGTTGCTGCCCATTAAGCTCTCTAGAGAGCACCTCCCAAAGAACTACAACTCCTTGGAAGCACAGCTATATATCCTTTTTTTCCCCCTTTCTTCCAATGCGAAACAAAGGCCCAAGAAGCTAAGCCGACTTCAGAGGTGGGCCTTTCTCTAGGGTAGCAAAATGTAGGTATCCACGGGTGGGTGTCTGTAGGCTTGACCTCCCAGAATTCTGCCTGGGAGACTCTTGGACAATCCTGGGAGTAAAAGAGCACACCCCAGCACTATTTTCTGACTTGAGGTCCGGTTGGCAACTGCATAGCCCTCCATAGGAAAGAGCAGGTGCTGCTCTGGGGAGGGGCTGTACCCCAGTGACAGAACATGTGCTTTTCATGCAGAAGGTACCAAGTTCAATCCCCAGTATCTCCAGGGAGGACTAAGAAAGAACTCCACCTGAAGCACCAGGTAGTCCTTGCTGACAGCCAGTATCAACCATATTGAGCTAAGATCTGATTCAATGCCAGTAGCTCAGTGGTTTAGACATCAGTTGGGAGTTTGATTTCCCCCACAGTGCTTCCTTGACAGGGGCTGGACTTGAGGATCCATAGGGTCCCTTTCCAGCTCTCAGTTCTAAGATGATGATCTCCCTCTACTGCTACACCACCTTTCCATGTCTTCCTGTTTACTGGCTGGGGAAGGAAAGAAGGGAAAGAGTTTTTTAATGAGCCTCTCCATCCTTGGCATTCTGTTTCTTGCCAAAGGACACTTTGCCTGTTCCCATCGGAGAAGCTTTACCTGCATGACTTATGACCAGATCTGCCGTTTGGACGTCTGCGGAGATGGAGTTCTTGAACCGGAACACATCAAGGGTGAAAGCCGCCGTGGTGAACGCATCTGGACACACGGCACCCCGGCCGACCTGCAGGACGAGCTTCTGGTAGCCAAGATCCTGCAGAACCTGCCAAGGGGAAAGAACTTCAGCTGAAATCGAGGGACCGGTGATGCACGAGGTCATGTTGTTTATTGAGAAAGTTAATCAACTTGCTCGCCCAAGTGGAAAACATCTAGCTGGGTGTTAATAAGGGGACCTTCTGGAGGTCATTAATCCATAGGGTTGCCATAGGTTGGAAATCAAAACTCATTCAAACCAAAATAGCTCAGTGGTGGAGGTCTCTCTCTGGCTGCGGAGCCAGAGGTGGGGAATTCGATTCCTCCCCTGGGCTTCCTTACCCCTGTGACCCCTGTCCCTATGATGAACAAGGTCCCCTCCAACTCTGCAGTTCTAAGAGGATGATGATTACAAGAGCTACAGAACAAAATGGGATATTACTCCTGAGTTCTAGAAACTTCTGAGGCTTAGCTAGACCTAGTTCTGGCTAATTCCCTGTTTAGAAAGAAGGCTCCCAAGGAGCAGTATGGGATTTCTGATTTCTAAAGTTAAGCAGAGTGAGGCCTGGTTGGTACCTGTATGGGATATTACTCCTGAGTAAATGTGAGTACTTTTTAAGCTAGGATAGTTGCCGTAAGTCACACTCAGTTTCACGGCAGTTAATTATTATTCAACATTCTAACTAAAAGAGCGGAGCTCTGAGTTGGGTGATACTTTTATGGGATTACTGCAAAAAGTTACAAGTGTATCCAGCATTTTGGTTCCACAGAACTCTTAATCAGGCTAAAACATGAGACTCAAACAGGGAGTCCAAAAACTGAGTCCCATGTTAGTTTTGTTGTTGTTTTACAACCTTGCATGCTGCCTGTAGAAGTTGTGGCTGGGCGGGACCTTTCCGGGCTTGGGTGGCTGTCAATCTATCTGTCTAACCAATAGCTCCCTCTGAATTCAAAGAGAACCCCACCTCTCTGCTTTGTGTCTCCCTCTCCTGAGTCTTGTGGCCTTGTCACTGAAAGCACTTAGGTTTATCTACCTCTCTGCTTTGTGTCTCTTTCCCTCTCCTGAGTCTTGTGGCCTTGTCGCTGAAAGCACTTAGGTTTATCTATTTATTTAAAACATTTTTACCCCACCTTTCTCCTCGAAAAGGACCCAAGGCAGCTCACAACAATGAAAAAAACAGTATTTAGAGTTGAAAACAATGCGTATACAGCAGTGGTGAACATCACTGAAAGACAATATTTAAAACTATGCAATTCTTAGTCTGCTGTTCACAGTTGAAAACAATGAGTATACAGCAGTGGTGAACATGACTGAAAGGCAATATTTAAAACGATGCAATTCTTAGTTTGCTGTTCATTGTAAGTAAAGGAAACTTTTTATTCTTCCTCTTAACAAATCAGAGTTATTGAGACTGTAAAGAGTGGATGGGGGTGGAAGGGGTGGACCATTTTGAGGAACTTGAAGCTAATTCTGCTCCCGGAGTCCCTCCTTGCACTTCTGCAGGGCAGTGGGAGGACATTTAACCAGGAATTCAAGACATTCACTACTTTTTGGCCCATTTGGGGGTGGACATTAAGGACCTTCCCCCTCCTTTGATCCACGGCTGCCATAAAGACAGGCTTGGAAGGCAAGGGGAGCCCCAAAAGAGGAGGGAGGGAGGGCAGCGGAAGTGACGTAGCTCTGGCGACAGGCGCCGCTACCGCCCTTCTCCGGTTGCCTAGAGACGGCGGAGGGGCCCGGGCGGGGAGGGGGAAAAGGAGTAAAAAGCCCCGGAACGGAAGGACTTGCCTGCAGAGCTTCCGGGGCCGTCACGGCGGCGATCAGGTCGTCGAAACTGGTCGTCCCGACGGTGACGAAGACGGATTTCATGACCGAAAGGGTCCGGGAAGGGAGGCTCCACCACTGAGAGGGGAGGGTAGAGCGGCGCCGGCAGGCCAGCCCTATTGCACTTCCGGTGAGGAGAGAACATGGATGCCGCGGGATGGACGCTCTAGGACTCGATGTCTATGGCGACGTTATTCCCCTCCAGCTCAGGAAATGGGTTGCAAAAAAAATAAAATAAAATCGGATTTATTTATTTATGGGACAGGAAAAAATGCATTGGGAATTTATTTCCTTTTTAAAAGTCCTACAATTAATCTCTCCAGTCCTCCCAGCTATTAATTCTGGTTTTAGGCTTTTTTTTTTCTTCCCTTGGGTTCTGAAGGATGCAATTAAGGCTGCTCCCAAATTTATTGCGGTGGATTTTAAAAGAAAAGGGAAAAAGTTAAGTGGATTGAATTTTTCTTTTTTTTCTTATTCCCCCAACCCGCATCTCAGGAAAAGCAGAATTAAAAAGGGGATTCCCTGCTCTTTCTAAACTCCTAAAGGCTTGCACCTTAAATGAAATATTAAGGATAAATTATTTTAATCCTTTTAAAGCTTGACCAGATCCAGCACCCTACATTGCCTGACACTTGCCGTTGATAGATCCTTATTTTAAAAATGCCTTTTGCCCCACTCAGACTGTATTTATAATTAATTTAAATCATATAATCGGATCCCTTTCTGTAAAATCAGTATGCAATTATTTTCATCCTTTTCTTGATAATTTTTTTAGACACCTCTTTGCATGTTTTTAATTCTTGTGGTTTTAATGATTTGTGAGCCGTCTGGAGTCCCACCTCCAGGAGAAAGGCGGTGTAGAAGTGTGAGAAGTAAATAAATAATTTGAATTTTAAATAAAGCCTCCCAAGACAACTCATTCTGTTTCCATATCACAGGTCACTGAAGGCTTAAAGTGCATACAGTAGTTATGTTTACTCCTGAGAAAAGAAGGGAATCATGGAACATCGCTAAGGCTGTCGCGTTTATTTTAGCATGAAGTTCCTTCCATAAGTTACAAGCCGCATCAAGTGTGTGTGTATAAAGAAACTGAATGTATTTATTTTATTTTATTAGATTTCTACCCCGCCTGTCTAGACCAAAGGTCTACTCTGGGCAGCAACATATATACAGTATACCCTGAATATACAGTATATGTTTCCTGACTGAATACAGTGAGGATTGACTGCATTCCTCTGTGGAGGAAAGAAGGGATACAAATATTTATGATTATTTTTACAGTGTATACATATGTTTCCATTTCCTAGCACAATACAGTGAAGATTACTATTTCTTGAACATGGTTTTTATGAATCCCAGCCCGCCTTAGAGAACAGAATAGCAAGGGAGGCTGAGGGCAGAAAAAGGCGGAACATCAGCTTCATAATTTTAAGCAAGGTTTTTAATACCTTTCTGTAAGTTTCAAATTGTTGCTGGATGGTTGGTCATTAGGAGATAAACAAGGAAATGGTTCAAGATGGCTGTGCAAACAGGAGAACTTTGAAGTGGTGCATTTTGGGAGGGATAAAGTTTTATCACCTTTTAATTGCAAAGCTGCTGTGTTTCATCCTTTTGTGTCCGGAAAATACTCTTAACGCAACCAAAGCTGCTGTGTTTCATCCTTTTGTGTCTGGAAAATACTCTTAATGCAGCCATGCACTGAATGGAACTAAGACTTAATCACAATGTAAATTACTTGGGGGGGGGCACTGAATGGAACTAAGTCTTAATCACAATGTGAGTAAGTTACTTGGGGGGACTGTAATTCTAAGACACCCCAAGACACCATGGCCACGATTGAGCTTTATAAAGGCCTTGTGTCCTTTTAAGGAGAAGGGCAGAGTAAAAAAGAAAATAAATCTTACTAAGGAGTACACTGCCCCAACGGTGGCTTTGATCGTGGACAGGTATGTGCCTGTATAAATTTATTTGCTGATCTTTAAATAAAAGCAGAAAGGGTGATTTTAAAAACTGCACCAGCAAGAAAAATATCCACCAGGGACAGGTGTACTGAAGTACATAATGCCTCCAGAGGAGACCTGTCCAGGAAAGTAAAGCTGATCAGGTGTAACAAGGCTGACATGTTTACTTTTCAGAACCCGGCCATGTCTCTTGGCTATGGGGAGTTTAGGAAGCTATGCTTTAGCTGCAAGATTGAAATATATTCCAAGGATTCCTACTGTGGAGCACACGGGGGTTTGTTTTGGCTCTACTGCTGTGGATCAAAGCCCGCCTAAAAGCTCCAGGCTTGATCTTAATCGGCAGCGAAAGGAGGGACAAGAGAGAAAAGCCACCCTTGACTTTTTCTTACAAGATAATTTCTGCAGAAGTGAGGGAATTAGAGTCCACCTTCTGTTTGCCCTTGAAACTTGCAAGACTAAATGGATGCCCTTAACCTCAGGAATTCAGAACCATTTCAGCTGTGTGTTGATGATCACCCGGGTAGACAGGGTAGGGGAGCTCTCTGAAGCTCTGCCATTAAATAAAAGCTATGGATCATGAAAACCACTGCATCTTTTGCTCACTAGGCTTGAACAGAATAAGTCCTCTTAGTCCACTGAAGGGACTGCTGGAGGTAATATTGTCATATACACAGTATTGTAAGTGATATTGCCACTGTGTGTAAGGTTAGAGCATTCGACCAGGTCTTGGAAGAGGGGAATTTAAATCTTCAGTTGCTTAAGTCTCATAATCTCCCATTGTGGGAGTTCTACCTGGCACACCTTACAGACAGCTAAATGTGGCTCACCTGGGAAGAAAGGCCTAGCCTAGAAGGTGCTGAGACTTAGCTCAGCCTTGTTTCACTTAACTTCCTACTGGGAAAGAAAGCTCCCAGCTAGCACTGGGGCAGGAACAGGAAGCTGGTGTGGAACTAGGCCTAGCTAAGCCTCAAAGGCTTTAGGCCTTTTTCTCCCAGGCGAGCCACACAGAAGTGTCTGTAAGGTGTGTGTTAGTCAGGCAGAACTCCCACAATGAGGGACTGTGGGATTTGTTGCCCAAGAAATCTGAAAATCCCATTCCTAGCAGCTGACACAAGGTCTGAAGCTAGATTGTGTAGTCTCTCCTACTGGGCTGTTGCCTTCCTTTACAAATTGGTACTCTATCAATATCAGTGCAATACTGGTTCTGCTTTAGTACAGTCATTGAAAACTCCATAGGGCTTTAGATGTTCACATGCTTGGGTTGCAAATTATTTATTTAATCCTCCTTAAGGAAAGGTGCAGTGAGTAAGATAAGACCCACCCCCCAATACTCTCATCCCTATAAATCACGGCATTCTGTTTTTAATGAATCAGAGTGTAGTTACACCGACAGATAGACCAAAATGTACTTTTCGCCACTTCTTCAGAATTAGCACATTTTGCTAATCTCACCTTGCAGTTGGCAAGATAATAAAAATGTCAGGCGTTTAAAAATATTCCGGCAGAAATCCAGCTGGTTCACTGTTGTCCCCGGATGCAAAGTGGCGAAAGCCAAGCAGGAGATAAATTGCAATTTAACAGAGTCTGAAAAAGCTACGGTTTTGGACTCCAAAACTCTTAGCTAGCATAGCTGGTGACACCTGCTGAATTTTGAGGGACACTTTTTTTTAAAGGCTACTCCGGGAACATAAAGATGTGAGAAATAGTTTCCAGAGCTTTTACGATTCTGCAGTATTGGGTTAAAAATGGGTGATGGACCTGTGACAGTTCTAGAAGGTATACTTGGGGCCCAGGTGAACCCCATATAGGCCAGAGGCTTTGAAGTTTACACTCTAGAAAGAGCTCAAGACCAAGCTATGATAGCCATATGAGGAAAGTGAATCATGGGCTAGTAAATAAGATGCACAGCTAGCTTTAGCCTAACTTTCCAAAACGCAACACTGCAGTATTGGGTTAAAAATGGGTGATGGCGGACCTGTGACAGTTCTAGAAGGTATACCTGGGGGCCTGGTGAACCCCATGTAGGCTAGAGGCTTTGAAGTTTATACTCTAGAAAGAGATCAAGACCAAGCTATGATAGCCACACGAGGAAAGTGAATCCTGGGCTAGTAAATAAGGTGAACAGCTAGATTTAGCCTAACTTTCCAAAACGCAACGCCTTCCAACTGTGTTGGGTTACCAACTCAATCATCCCTTGCCAACTGTGTCCATGTTCACAGACAATTATGGAAGTCATAGCTCACCACATCTCCCAGGTTGGGGAGAGCTGATTTAGCTTAAGGGAGGTTGGCAGCAAAGTTGTCTCTAGTTTTCACTAGAGATTCCAGAATTCATCAGCCCAAATTTTGGAAGCTGTAGTCAAGAACTCTTAAATCTTCAGAGGAGTTTCGGCAAATACATCTGTGGCTCGTCAAGTTTTTCTCTGCAGTCACAGACATTAGCCTGAAGATGAAGAAACTGGGTGAGACTGGCTAAACTCCATGGGAGTTGCAAGGGATTAGGGCCTTGGTAGTCTCTCTGTGCATTAGGCTCCATACGTAGTGTCTGTCCAGTTCCTTAATCATTTAGACAAATAGCAAAAAGGGGATTTTCTTCTTTCACCTCCTTTGACTACAGGTCCCAGAAATCCTAGCTAGCACAGCTAGTGGTGAAGGCTTCTGGGAGTTTTGGTCCAAGAACAGCTGGAGACCTATTTTACTTAAAGCATTGCTTTAGAACAGTGGTTCTTAACCTTTGTTACTCGGATGTTTTTGAACTGCAACTCCCAGAAACCCCAGCCAGCACAGTTGGTGGTGAAGGCTTCTGGGAGTTGCAGTCCAAAACTCCTGAGTAACCCAAGGTTAAAAACCAGTGCTTTAGAAGATCCTGGGTTCACTGGCCACAAGAGCCGGGCAAACTGCACAGTCCCAAGGTTGCCCCTAGAGGAATGGAAGGGTAAAGCCCTTAAAACCCTGGAAAGGGTGGTTATTTGTTGGAATCAACTTGACGGCATATTATTAATGATTAACTATTTGTTACGAGTTATTTGCTGGGCCTGCTGAACACTCATCAGATGGCCCTGTGGGTGGCAGAACAGTCCTTTTGCAAGAGAAAACAGATAAGTATTTTTCACAGTCTGTTGCACTACATTTTTTTCTCCGTTCTTGTTGC